CACAAATTTTTACCATGACTATAGACTAATAATGGTGCTATTAATAGAAACAATAAACCATGTAGTATTGAAAAACGCACATGTCCACAGCCTCGGCCTTGGGCCTCCTGCCAGCCCTCCAGGACGCTCTCCCGCTGTTTTGCTCTGGGAGCCGGCACAGCCCAACTCCTTCCCACCAGCCGGTCTGTTTCCCCCTCCTGCTGCGCCCAGGTCCTGTCCTCACCCTGCCCAGCCACCGGCTCCCCTGACCCACCTCCTCTGCCAGCTGTGGGGCATAGTCACCACAGTAACCTCCAAGAGACAGCCGGACACCCCATGCCTGTCCTGAGCGTTCCCAGTGTCCCCTTTGCGGCCCTTCCAGCTCCTGTGACGGGGGTCTGCTCCCTCTGGGAGGGCAGGCGGGCAAAGTCAAGGGCATCGTCAATTGCACGAACCCTTTCCCTGGTCTGTGAGCTCCTTGAAGGCAGGACTGGCTTTATTCGCCATGGATCTTGCAGTACAAAGTCTGGCACAGAGAAAGGACTCCAAGAATGCTTGTCGCATTGGACTAAAATGAAAAGCAGCACAGGACGCTTCTGCCGACTGCCCAGGGGAGAGAAAGCCGCAGGTCCTGGGGGGTGCACAGATGGCCGGGGGGGCAGGCAGCGCCAGTGGGCTTCTGGTTTTTTCTCTAAAGACCACGGCCGGCAGGCCTTTGACCTCTCCCCGGCCCATTTGCACAGATTCCCATGACATCCCTCTTCCCGCTTCTCTTATCTCCCTCCGGGAATCCGGCACCGGGCAATCCCCCCAGCTGCTCTCTTCCCCCCACTCTCTCTAGTGGGGCTCCCAAACTTCAGGGTTTTGTGTTTTTCCGGAAAGAACACTGTATGTGGGGCAACTTTTAATTTTGTCCAACGAGGGCTCGGAGAACAGAATATAAACCTTGAAAGAAGGCACAGGCGCCCCTCCCCGGCCCTCATTCCCCACGCAAGGTAGGAAGGACACGCTCCCGGAGGAAGAGTCATCGTTCAGTGGAATAAATCCTACATAGAGGAAAAACTCAAGGCGTTTCCCACTTTTTCACCTTGTCTTTGATCAGTGACGATTTTGCCACCGGGCGTTGTCCTCGGATGCAACTTGGGAACGAGGGAGGCCCAGCCTGGCATTCTTGTTCTCCCTCCCCGTCTCTCTGCCCGCTCTCTCTCCCCCCTACCTCTTGCTCAAATTGTGGTAAAATGCACATGAGATTTAGCATCTCAACCCCTTTAAAGCACACAGTTCAGTGTGTTAAGTCTGACGTCACCTCTGGCCACTCCCTGCCTGGCCCGTCCAGCCAGACCAGCGCCACGTGCAGGTCCCCAGCGCTTCTGCGCAGCCTCTCAGCCTCCCGGTCAGGCCGCAGCTCCAGCGCAACAGGAGGAGATGAGATCACCTCCTCTCTCCGTGATGGGGGCACCCTGCGCCCTCCCCCTGCCAGGCTGACACCGCTGCTCCCAGTTTGTGAGCAGCAACCCACCAGGGGCCCTGGTTGGCACAGACCGTCCACCTTCAGGCCTTTATCTGCCCTCCGCCTGTCACTCTCCTTATCCCCTAGGCTGCAGACAGTCCCCAGCGTCCTTCCCCTGGAGCCGCCCAGAGACAAGCACCTTTGGCCCCCTGGTCCCTGCTGGGAACCCTGGCAGCTGCCAAGGCAAACGGGGCCTGAGAGATGGGATCGGGTCATGACACCCAGGACCCACTGCCTCTGCACCCAAGAGGGCAGTGACGTGGCAGGAAACAGAAAACAGACTCCTCTGGGTTTTCAATGCAATTCAACAAACCACAGCGGAAGTTCCTACCTTGTGCTGGGTGCCGGGGCTGCAGTCACATCACTCACGACCGGGGGACCTCACCGTGGGACAGAAGAGGGGCTCATCTCCCAGGTGGGCAGAAAGTCTTGCTCCTCTGAGCAGTGTGAGGATGATGATGACGTTCCTCAGCGCTGAGGGCCACCCTCGGGGAAACCCGTGGAAGGGTCGGCTCTGGCATGTCCCAGCCGAGTGGGGGGCAGAGAGTTCTGAACCCATTCCCCGAGGCTGCAGCCGCTGCCACCTGGAGGACCAGCCTAAAGCCCCTCCTCCCCATGAGGCTTTGGGGTCAAACTTGGGTTCGACTTTCACTTGAGCAAGTGTCTCCATATCTTTTAGCCTCAGCTTTCTCATCTCGAACATGGGGGTAAAGCAATAGCAAACCCCTGGGGGACCACGGAGGGAATTCCATAAAACACGGCGGCAAGGAGCCCACTTTGGGGCCGCATGCCCGTGAGCACCAGACGGAGCATGTTCATGTCTCCGTTATCCGTCTTCCCTCTGCACCCCACTGCGCACCTCTGGGGCTCTCCTGGCTTCCTCTGCTGCCCATACCTGCCGTCGCCCCACTCCCAGCTTCTGTTCATAAACACCCTCTAGATCCTGCCTGTGTCTTGCGCACTCAGAGGACAGACTAAGAGGAGAAGTGCAGGGGCGGGGGCACAGGTAGGGGAGGTGGCCGATGCGTCAGTCTTACCCACTGGCGTTTCTCTCTCCTCCCCCTCCTCTCCCCTTCTCTCCCTCCTCTGTCTCCATCTCTCTCTGTCACTCTCCCTCTCTCTATCTCTCTGTCTCTGTCTTTCTATCTCTCGCTCTCTGTTGCTTTCCCTCTGTCTCTCTCTCTCTCACACACACACACACACACACACACACACACACACACACACACTGGGTTGGGCCATGATAGTCACATTCTTACCACCAACTCTAAGACCTCTCTCACTCTGGGGACAGAGGAACAAGACACACACGCGCGCAGGTTCCGCAGCGGTGCCTTTCTCGAGCGGGGCCTGCAAGCTCTCGGTGGCTGTTGTTGAAGAGGCTGGAAAGTGGACGCGTAAGGATAATTGGCTGCACCTGCTTTGGGCAAAGGAGGCTGCCTTTGAAAGCACCAGTACATGGGCTGTGATATCATCTTATAACTGTGTTTATATGAAAGTAATGAAAATATCAATTCTCTTTTTATAAAAAACAGTTATGCAAACAAGCAGACTTTATGGCATCGTTATCAAAGTTTAAAATATACGTATATATAGACATTCCCACCCGCCATCGCGCACGTGCGGTTTCTCCCTCCCCATGGGCAGCACGTGGCTCGTCCGCACGCACGTTGTCAGCGTTCCTTTTTGCAGTTGCCGACACGGGGGCATTGTGCCACCGTGAGCAGGGCGTGGCCTGAGGGCCGAGGTGACCAGTTGGCTCTGGCCTTGCTGCCTCTTGCTGTGTGGCCATGGGAAATTTACTTCCCCTCTCTGGGCCTCAGCTTTCTCACCTGTGTAGTGGGAGAGTAGACATGGAAACTTTCAAAGTCCCTGCCACAGCTCTGGCTTCCAGGGCTGGACCAATCGATTCAGTGGGCACCTGGGCTTGGCTGCCCAGGCCTGAGGTCTTGGCTGATTCAACCCTTAACTCCAGGAAAGTGCCACCTGCAGAGAATGGGCCTTGCGCGTTTCCAAACACCTGGAGCAAAGTGTGCTGAGTCAGCGCCCAGCGCTCCCCTCGCCGGCACTGGCTTCCCGCCCCGTGAGCGTCCAGCCATTCCTACTTGTCGGGGCCCGGTCCCCGTGGGACAGCTCACCTGGACCTGATGCAAGGGAGGGAGGGGTCCGTGTGTATGAGAGAGCAACATGCTGGGGGTCAGGACCCACGTAGGGCCTCACTTTCCCTCTGTTTATGGGGTCTTTTGGGGTCTGTAACACTTTATGACTCCAAAGTCCCCTGTGAGGCCTGAGGAAATCCCCTTCTGATATCATATCTGCAGTTCAACAGACAAAACCCATTCGTAAAGAGCGGGCACTAAGTATTTTCTAAAAAAGGAAAACTTAGTGTTAATTCAGGGAAAACATGATCCAGTTGTAAAGCACTCAAGAGCCAACCCACACATCCCTCGGGGAGGAAGGGACGTGTTTCCAGCCTCAGAGCCCAACATGGAGTTGCCCCGGCCCTTTCCCGGTGCCACGTGGAACCCAGACCTGGCAGGAGAGAGCCTGGTTGGGGGGCCTGGGCCCTGGTCCCATGTGGGGGTGCGTGTGGGACGTTCTTGGTCCAGTGGACCTGCCTGTCTCCAAAGTGCCTCTGGGAAGGGGTGGGAGAGCCCTTCAGACGGGCTGAGCGCCAAGGCTGATCTCGGTCTCGGACCCCCCGTCCTTGGCCCCTGGCATGGCAAGCGCTTCCCTTCTGCCCTCCAGCCTGAGTTCTAGACGATGAACACTCGGTCCCAGAGCAACAAAAGAAACACATCTCTCCCTGGCACCGTCAGGTGGGCTCTGCGCACAGAGTGTGTCTCACCATTCTGCATGGAAATCTGAAAAATTAAGTCTAGCTCCTTCCCTTTCTCCCTGAACAAAACACAGAGGGCATGATCTAACCACTTCCCGAAGACTCAGCGTCCCGACCGTGGACATTCACCATTGGTCCGTGTGATCAGAGGCTACTGAGCAGCGGGGGCCGGGGGCATCCTGCACTGAATGCCTTCATTCGGCTGTGCTTTTTTAGTTCTGGGTCTGCTCTTCGTAGTTCTTCTTTTCTTTCATTGCTATCACTCTGTCACTTGTCGCTTTTTACTGCCATCACTGTGCCTGCCTCCTCTAATCCACAGCATCTAATCTTTGTGGTTTTAACAACGACACAAGCACATTTGTTCTCATTGTGCGTAAAGCAAGAGTCAACAGGCTCTGAGTGAGGTCTGTGCTGCTCTTCTACACTGGCAGCTCAGAGGCATTTTCATTAACATCTGAGTTTTGGGGTTGGTTTCTGGATAAGAAACTGTCATAAAAGTGACGCGTTATTGTTCTTGCTTTCCAGGGCTGACCGCAGACCAAGTCAACACCACCATAAAATCCCACTGGAGATGCACACTGCTAGAAATTTTCCCAACTACAAACAGACCTCGCATATGAAATGGTACATACTGAGCATTTACATACAGAGCATATAAAATTCTACACATTATTCCCTCGTCACACACGGTACACATTTAGTAAACAGACTGAGACAACACTGTATAAAAAGAGGTTTGTCCTGGGAACACTGACACAGTATTTGGACTGATACAGCTCTGCGGTCTCCGGCCCGCCTCTGTTTCCAGCTTCCCTGGGTGGGCGTCCTCAGGAGCAGCCCCGGGACTGAGGAAGGTTGAGGAAGAAAGTCACCTGTGCGCCCCAGCGGGCTAGGTGGGCGGGGGGCCGTCATGGCGCAGCACGAGCGTGAAGGAGCGGGCGAAGTTGTTGGCCAGGCCGCAGCTGCGGGCCTCCTCCCCGACGGGCAGCAGGAACAGCAGCAGCAGGAACAGCAGCAGCAGCACCTGCAGCGGGAGCGCCACACAGCACACCTTCCGCAAGAGGGAGCCGAGGCCTCGCCACCGAGTCTGCGGAACCAACACAGCACGTGTGAGCGGGCGCAGGGGCCCTGCGGCGGGCAGGGGGCAAGGAGGATGCCAGGAGCGGTGGCAGTGCTGGACTGACTGTGTGACGTCTCGGTTTTCTCACCTGTGAAATGGGGCTAATGTGAATTTTGCCAGAAACAAAGATCTCCGCGGTTTTCTCGAACCATTCAGGGTGTGAAAGGAGGGAAAAAAATATAAAGTTATGGGCTCTGCCAGTTGTTGCATAAATCTGTGCCTGGCGCATCAGAGCGCTGGCTCTGAATCTGGAGGCGGTCGCTCAGCTTCTCTAGACCTCAAATTTCTCATCTGTAAACATGGGCAATAACGGCACCTGCCTGACAGAGCTGTGAAAACCAAGTGAGACAGAGCCTGGCACATAGTAGGTCCTCAAAAGCTGCCGTCATTATTAGCGTTGGTATGCATCCTTCATAGCACCACCGTCCTAACCATCGTCATCACTGCTATCGCCACGTGGTTGCCATCATCACCACCCCCGTGTCGGTTCATTATCGCTTCCTTGTCCTCCTCCTCCTCCTCCTCCTCCTCATCCACTTCCCCTCCCTCTCTCTTTTTCCTTCTTCTTTTTTCTCCTCTTCATCATCATCAATCATCGTTACCATTATCGGTATCACCGAAGGTCAGTCTCACAAGTCCAAATGTCTAATGGACTTCTCTGCTACAATGTCCGTGAAAGTGGCCGAAAAGCATTTCCTAAATTCCGGAGGGGCTGGCCGGATCGCGGCTTCATGGATATCTGCCTGCCAGGGAGCGCGAGGTCAAGAGCTGGTCGTGCAGGAGAGTGAGGCCTCACGGCCACGGTGCAGCATGGCAGGACAGACGCCAGCTCATAGGAACCTGGCAGACGGGGTCCCAATCCAGACTGCCACACACTAGATAGGTGACTTTGGGCAAGTCAATGACCTCCTGGAGCCTCTATTTCCTGCTCTGCCAAATGGGGATAAAACATCTATCCCTGTTTGCTGGGTTGCGGAGAGGACTCACAGCAAACATATTTATACCTTGATTGAAAGGTATACCAGCTCCTACTATTACACTGTTAGCAACTATTTGTAACAAGAGTACCAGCACTATTGGTAACTATTAGTACTATTAGTTAATATTATTATTAGTAGTAGCACTAAAACTACTATTACAGAATATATCTGCTGGCTCCCTGAAGAACCAAAGGTTCACCCTCCAGGGCACCAAAAGCCACAGTCCAGTGATGATGGCCATGGTGATGGTAGGGATGGCAATGATGCTTGATGGTGGTGGTGATAATGGTGATGATGATCACAGTGTTGGTGATGAGAATGGTGGTGATGAAGATGGTGATGGTGGTGGTAGTGATGGAGATGGAGATGGAGATGGTGGTGGTGGTGGTGGTGGTGATGGTGATGGAGATGGAGATGGTGGTGGTGGTGGAGATGGTGGTGGTGGTGGAGATGGTGGTGGTGGTGGTGGAGATGGTGGTGGTGATGGAGATGGTGGTGGTGATGGTGATGGAGGTGGTGGTGGTGATGGAGATGGTGGTGGTGGTGGTGGATGGAGATGGTGGTGGTGATGGAGATGGTGGTGGTGATGGAGATGGAGATGGTGGTGGTGGTGGTGGTGGTGGTGGTGATGGTGATGGAGATGGTGGTGGTGATGGAGATGGTGGTGGTGATGGTGATGGAGATGGTGGTGGTGGTGGAGATGGTGGTGGTGATGGAGATGGTGGTGGTGATGGTGATGGAGATGGTGGTGGTGATGGAGATGGTGGTGGTGGTGGTGGTGATGGTGATGGAGATGGAGATGGTGGTGGTGGTGGAGATGGTGGTGGTGGTGGAGATGGTGGTGGTGATGGAGATGGTGGTGGTGATGGAGATGGTGGTGGTGATGGAGATGGTGATGGTGGTGGTAGTGATGGAGATGGAGATGGTGGTGGTGATGGTGATGGTGGTGGTGATGGTGATGGAGGTGGTGGTGGTGATGGAGATGGTGGTGGTGATGGAGATGGTGATGGTGGTGGTAGTGGTGGTGGTGGAGATGGTGGTGGTGATGGAGATGGTGGTGGTGATGGTGATGGTGGTGGTGGTGGTGATGGAGATGGTGGTGGTGATGGTGATGGAGATGTGGTGGTGGTGGTGGAGATGGTGGTGGTGATGGAGATGGTGGTGGTGATGGTGGTGGAGGTGGTGGTGGTGATGGTGATGGAGATGGTGGTGGTGGTGGAGATGGTGGTGGTGGTGGTGGTGACGGTGGTGGAGATGGAGATGGTGGTGGTGGAGATGGTGGTGGTGGTGGTGGTCGTGGTGGAGATGGTGGAGAGGGAGACGGTGTGGTCGGTGGTGGTGGCCGTGGTGGTGAAGAAACATTGCTAAGTGCAGGTGTTCCTGGGAGGTTCTGACCTGGGCACTCTGCCTCTCTGCCTCTCATATCTGAGTCATCTTATTTACTCTCCTGCCCCAATTATTTCCTCCAGATAACACTTGACCTTCTGCTCCAGCCTGACACGTTTTCACTCACCAAAGGCCTTAGACACTGATTTTATAAAAGCGACTACCCAGGGCCCACACAATGGGTAAGTACTCTTGGCTGCATTTATTTCAGCAGTGACCTCAGGAGCGGCGAGTGATGCAGTGTTTAAGCAGCCGAAGGAGCACGAGTTCACAGAGGAAGTGGCTCCCTCAGCTGCTGGGCTGGGTACAGCCAAACCCTGACCCATCCGATTCATCCAGGGAGAGGGAGAAGCGGGTAGGATGACATGCTGCACGCCCACCCAGCCTGGGTTGACACTACTAAAAACTTGTGATTGACGGCCTCCCAATGGAGGGTCTGTTTACAAGCGTCCTTTTCCTGTTTGCCCGTCCACTCTCAGAGCTAACACTTGGCTTATTCAAGTGAGGGGTTGTGCCTTGGCCGTGAGCCTCTGGGGAAAACATCCCGAAGGTCCAAAGTATGTTTGCATTTACAAGCGTTGACAAGGGGTGGTCTTCTTCAAAGGACTCCTGCCGCCTGCCCAGTGCCCGTGCGCTCAGAGCTCACGTCTTCACTTTGAGGGCCCTGCGTTCTAAAATGCTCTTTAAAATGAAAGGCACATTTTAATACGATTCTCAAATGCTTAGAAAACATGAAAACACGCCCCCACACACAGACGCACAGACGTGAACTACCGTCTAAGAGGCCAACAAAGAAATTGACAAACTCAGCTCTTCCCAGTTCCAAGAGTTTCTCTGTGCCTCAGTTTCCCCACAGAAAGTACCACCTGTCTTCTGCTGGGACAGAACTATCCAAAGAGAGAAGGAGCTTCCTCAGGAAGTGATGAGCTCCCGATCCTTGAGGGTCCGGAAGCAGAGGGCCATGAGCACGTGGCGGGGAGGAGGGAACGGGAGATGCTCTGTAGAGGGACTAAATGCTCAGCAGAGGCTCTGACCCAGAGTCCTTCGAGGTCTCCCACGAGCCTGAGATTCCTGAGTTCTAAGAACTCAGGCAAGGTGAGTTTATCACAGTAACTGGGACTTAATCCTCTACCACTGATGAAACGGGATATGGCGGGAAATTAAAGGTTTGGAGTCCTGGGTCCTAACCCTGGCTCTGCCACTTCCTGGCTGTGTGACCTAGGACAGGTCACTTAGACTCTCTGAGCCTCAGTTCCTTTATCTGTTGGGGGAGAGGGAGAATGACGCCTGCCTACCAAAGTTACAAGGACAAACGAGGCAACGCGTGCTGTGCTAACACGCGTGGCAGGTGCTCAGTCACCGCCTGTCCTTCCTTCTCTCGCTGATGGGAGCTGGGGCAGGTGGGAGCTCCCACGAGCAGCACATAGTCCCCTCCACCAGGGAGTCAGGATCAGGCACCATCGCCACCTTCAGTCCCATCAGAGAGGAAAGCACCGCCCTCCTTAAATGCCATCTCTCTGCTCCTCAACGGCCCTCACGTCCTCTTGCCACAGGGCCTTTGCACAGGCTGTCCCTCCTGTCTGAAATGCTCATTTCCCTCTTTTCTCCAACCCACCTGGCTAGATCCTGCTGATCATTCTACCTTGCCTTGAGTTGCTTGCTCAGGGAGACCTTCCCTGGCCTCTAGACAAAAAACCAAGTCCCCACTACACATCCGCATGGCACCCGACGCCTTTCCTTTGGGTCACTGATGAAGCTCTGGGTTGCCCTTAACTCCTCGGAGGCAGGATCCACATCAGTTTTGTTCCTTGCTGTATCCCCTGCAGTGCTCAGTAGATATCTGCTGATGAAATACTGAATAAAAGGCTCCTTCCCTGCCCATGCCTCTGGCTGTCTGCTCCTCCCACAGCACCAGCGAGATGATCACAGAGACGCCTGCTGCCCCCTGTGAGCTGCTCTCACCGTCCTGACGTTCACCCAGCACGACTGCGCCCCACTTGTTAATGAACTCGCCGAATAGCCCCCAAAGGCCCTGAGCTCTGCTCTTCCCCTCGCCCGTGGGCTTCCTGAGCCCCTTCGACAGCTCTATGAGGTAGGCTTTTCCATGCCCATTTTACAGAGGAAGGAGCTGAGGCTATGGGGAGGCGACCAGCCCAAAGTCACATGGACAGTCTCAACTACCCAGCGTTGCCCCAAAGCCCAGGCTCCTCCCACCATCCTGCGTGCCACTTCCCACGAAAAACAGCAGCTACGACAATGAAAGGCTCTGCTGAGGATGGTCCCCTCCAGCCTGGGGCCCCAGGTGTGGACGTGATGCCACCTCCCCTCTGAGGCCCGGGGTCTTTCCCAGGACGCGGATTCAATAGCGGTTAGTATTTCTTCACCACTGAGTTTTATCGACACAGGTTTGGATAAGTGGGAAACCATCAAACAGAGAGGAAGGCACCGGCAGAGCTGGCTGGAAGAGGCGGACAGTCGTGAGCCCCACCGCTGCCCAGGCCGAGCACGGGAAAAGCACAGCATGGTCACCGGGCTCAGTGAAGACGTAGCAGCTGGTACCGCACTGGGGGGATTTCAGAGACTTGGAGACAGAGAGATGAAGAAACGGAAAGCAAGTGTAGATAACACTTTTCTGGATTTCGACAGTCAAGGACTAGTTTCAGAAACTCATGTCCGGAGTTTTAGCACCAGCTCATTCACAAATCAGCAACAACCGGTTGCTCCTGGGCTCTGTGGATGGACGGAGAGACAGGGCTCTGTGAGGACACTGTGCCTGGTTTGAGGCCTGTCCCTGGCTCTCCCATTTTAAAGGTCAGAGACGGCACAGCTGTGGCAAAGCCCAGGCCTTGGGCTGTGACCAGAGGTGACCTGCTCCCAGATTTGCACAGAGAACAGCAGGGGTACAAAGTCAAGCTATGCGGCCTTTGCCCGCGAAGGGGCCACAGGGTATTTGCGCCACTAAACAGAGTGAAGGCAGTTTTGAGTGTTACAGGGCAGGCACGTGGGTGTCCAGCACAGTGCCTGGCACAAGTGGGGGTTTTTAAACAACCATAGTGTGAGAGAAAGTCATCAGCTAACACGAAAACCCACCAGTGCTTTCTGAGATTTGGGATTACAGTATTTCATCCAATCTAAGATGCTGATTATAGACCGTTATTTTACCAACCACTAAGAAAGGAAAAGCCAGCAACTAAGACGGAGCACACAATTGGGGTGCCCACGCAAACGTGGGGCGCCGTCGTGTGAGGGGAAACGAGGAGCAAACTTACTCACAGAAAGGGGAAGAAGGAAACTCAAGGTCTTATCTGGGCACTGGGTAAAGGGCAGGAAATAAAAACTCTTTCTGAGAATTTAAACCCCAGGCTGGAGCTCCCCAAGGCAGTGGTCTGAGTTTACGCAATCAGTGTGGTCTGCAGGAAACCAACCAAGGCACCACCCACAAGCAGAGATTTTAATTTAGAGAAATCTCAGGTGGGTGGTGGAGGGAAGTAAACCCGAATCCTCACTGGAAGACCTAGATTGTAATAAGACACCCAAATTCCAGAGACGTGAAAATGTGAAAAATTATGAGTCTTAAAACCCACGAAATAGGCTCGAGTAAAGAAAATGCTACTCCCAGGTCGCCCAACATCTGCGTTCGCATCCCAGGAGCCCACGACATGCAACGATGGGAGGCGTCTGCTCCCCGTTCCTGCAAACTGCCATTGCCTTAGTTTACCCAGGAGACAGAAGCACTTGCCGATCTGCTCCCCAACTAAGAGCTTGTCTCGGGTAGGGCGACACCACTGCTGTGGGCCAAGGCAACTCGAAAAGCACTCACATTTCTGCGTCTGAGTGCTACAGGCAAACACACCCGTGGCGCAGAGTCGGCAAGTGCGTGGGCGGCTGCAAATTTAATAAATCTTAATTATTCTGTTTATACAAACAAGCAAGCTGAAGCCATTGACGTAGCTGGAGCTTTCAGTGACTTGGGGCACAGAGAGAGGAAAAAAGTGTGGCGAACCAACTGCTCATAAATAATTAGCTTCGGGCAGGGTTTTTTTTCCTTCCCTTTGGACTAAAAATAATACATGGAATGTTTCTAAGTTGGCAAGATTACAGCCTCGGAAGACAGCACCTATTTTCTACCTGTCAGGCCTGCGTGCGGATGCGCATACGTGCACGCGTACGCGTAGCCATATGCTCACACGTGCGCACCCCAGGCAGCGAAAACCAGCACAAGGACCAAACCTAAGGGAGGATCTCCCCCGGCAGAAGCGCCATTGCCGCCTTTGCTCTCAGAAAGAGAAGAGGAGGCTGCAGAGGTCTCCCAGGTCCTCATTTACGTGGCACTTGGGGACCTACTATGTGCCAGTTGTTACAACAGAAACTTTACCACCATTAGCTCAGCGGACCGTCGTTTTCCTTAGCGGAAGACGGTGGTTAAGTGACTCGCCACAGGTCGCACACACCGATGGTGGAGTCTGGATTGAAATCCAGAGTGTCAAGCAGTGGTTCTCAAAGCGTGGTCCCCAGGCCACCAGTATCACCTGGGATCTTGTTAGAAACACAGATTCCTGGGCCACCCGAGCCCTAGTCAGTCAGAAACTCGGGGGGCGGGGAACAATGCATGTTTTAACAAGCTGTCCTATGAACAAAGACGGTCTCTGTGTGTTGGCCCCTACGGTGCTCACTTCACAGCGGGCTCAGACCTGTTGGCTCAAAAGCCAGCTGAAAGTCAAATTTCTACATATCCAATTATTTTAAACACAGCGCAAGTAAGCAGATTTTTTTAGCCATTTAGGGCGGCGGTCCCCAACATTTTTTGCACCAGGGATCGGTTTCATGGAAGGCAATTTTTCCACGGACGGTGGTGAGGGGGCAGGAGGAGCTTATGCACTCATGCGAGCGGTGGGAGCAGCTGTAAATACAGACGAAGCTTCGCTCACTCACCCACCACTCACCTCCTGCAGTGTGGCCTGGTTCCTAACAGGCCACTGACTGGTACCCATCCACAGCCCAGGGGTCGAGGACCACGGATTTAGAGCCTTTCTGCTTTGTACACGCTACCAAACTGCACCCAACATCTGCTAGCTACAGGTAAGATAAGCCTCGGGGCTGTAGGACCAGCCCTTGGAGCTCCCTGACCCAGAGACTCCCACTGTGCCTGGGCAACATCAGCGGAACGCTCAAGCTCTCTCCAGATTCCCTTCTCTCCACCCAACCAGGATGCAGAGTCTACGCGGGCAGGCCATTACTCTTTTGTTCACTGATGTGTCCCACTGCCTAAAACAGAGCTTGGCCAAGGTCAGCACTCGGTAAATATTGGAGGAAGGAAGGAAGGAGATAAGGATGGATGGAGGGAAGGAGGAAGAGAAGGAGGGAAGGATGGAGGGATGGAGGGAAGGAGGAAGAGAAGGAGGGAAGGATGGAGGGAAGGAAAGAAAGAATGAGGAAAGGAAGGAAGGAGACAGGGAGGGACAGCAAATGCACACAAAGGCTGAGAACACATGGTAACACGTTAATTACAGGCTGCAGGAATCCTGCCTGTGCTAGGAGGGCTGGTGTCAGCCAGCCAAGTGTCACTACTCAGAAACATTTAGTGAGCACTTACTATATGCTAGGCACCATGGCCAGGCACCAGCAGACCCAGGCTTAACTCCAAAATGGACTGTGGCCTGGGGCTGCATAGATGGGTGCTCTCAACCAGTGAGGGGCTTAGAGTGCAGGAGCTAGAGGCCATCTGGATGCCTGGTACTGGGTCCCCCATCTTCTACCAGGAGCCACCAGGCCAGGCTGTGTGGACCACCTGCCTTTCCTGGTGACCTTCCCTATTCCAGGAGGAGCCTGTTTGTTATTTATTCTAAACTGGGGTGGGGGTGGCGGCAGCCAGGACTTAAGCCATCAGAAGCACTTCTACTGTCACATACAATAATTCACATGCTCTTCAAAATTAGGTCACGGAGTAAATAAAGCCAGCATCAATAGTCCCGTTTTATAGATGGGGAAAGTGAGCCCTAAGACACAAAACGACTTGCCCAAGGCCACAAAGCTGGGTTGGCACTGGGCCCAGAGCACAGCCTTGATCTTGCGACTGCCTTGCCCAGTCCACGGGTCACCCACTCCCCTGCAGATGCCAGACATGACACAGCTGGAGACCAGGAAGAAAAGCTGGTATGCAAAGCACCTGGAAAACACAGATCCCAGGGACTGAGAGACCTCAAGGAACTTGAGCTCCCTGGGGCAGAGCGTGCGAGAAGCTTATATCACTGGGGGCCAGTGCTTGGCAGGAAAACAAGAGTGTTCCCTTAGAAGCAGTGGCACGGGGAGCATCAATTTACATTTTGCTTTTCCAGAAACATGAAGACCCGCCAGGCCCCAGGGAAGCCTTCTCCAAGGCACAGTGTGGAAGGTTAAAATGTGGGATTTGCAGCCAGAGGCCAGAGCCACACGGGAGCCACTGCCTTCTCTGAACAAGTCACTTCAACCGTAGCCTTTCTGTGCCCTCACGCCTGCGGTTGAGATGCCAACGGGAGCGTTAAATGAGACGCCCAGTTCCTGGCACACACAGTGGATGGCCGATACGTAGTATCCAGAGTAACAAAAATCACTACTATTGTTATCATCCTTATTATTATCTCTGCTGCTGTTGTGGGTGCTTCAGCTGCAAACACCTGAGAGAGGCTCCGTGGGCTACCTGGCAGCAGCTGCCTGGCAGGACACAAGGCACCACACCCCTCCCTCCTCTGTCCCCTACTGAGCCCCGTGTACAATTTCATCACCAGGGTGGCCACACTCCCCAGTTTGCCTGGGACAGTCCCGGTTTACGCCTGTTGTCACGGCATCATTATCGGCAGCTTCCTTGTTCCCTTCCCGGCGTGTCCTGCTCTGGGATGATGAATTCCACGTCCCTTCCCCACCGTGTGCTTGGCACAGTGGGCTCTGAGCACCCTGCCAACCTCCCCCTGAACCTGGGGCTTCCCGGGAGCAAGGACCCTGGGCCCCGCACAGTGCAGCCCAGAGCCGATGCCCCATAAACGTTCCTCAGACCTCCCGGAACCTTCCAGAGAGCCCGCGAGTCCTGCCCTGGCGTCACGGGCCCACAGCCCTCCAGGCGCCCTGCCCGGGCTGTGTGGAGCAGATGGCAGACACGTACCTTTTGGAATCCAGTCGGCTCCCCTGGAGAACTCTGTGTCTGTTATTGTAGGGAAGGGGAGGAAAGGGGGAAAAAATAAGTTAAGTGAGTGAAACTTAAATCCCAACAGAGCCTGTAATGGAATATTCATTTTGTCAGGGGAGTGTTTCTTTAAAACTTCTGGTCATCTGGACAGCCTGAGCCAGCAGGTGATTCGATTTAATGAGCTTTTTAACGCACTTCAGGCCCAGCTGGGACCCTGTCTGGGAAGGCCTTGGCCATGGCGGCCGGGGCCACGGCCGACCTGGCTTGGCCTGGGCTGACACCTAGTGGCCGTCACGGCTGCATCGGGCCAGGAAAGCCCCGGAGCGCTGGAACTTGGAGCCTGGGGCCTTCAGGGCCATTTCATCCTCCTCCTCCTCCTTGGACTTAGGGACTTAGGACACTTAACCTCTGTGCCTCAGTTTCCTTATCAGTTCACAGGGATTAATAACAGTACCTATTTTATAGGGTTGTTATGAGGACATGCCATTTAATAAAGATAATTGTTATTATTAGTTTAGCTATTATTATTATTATTATTATCTTGTGCAAAGAGACACGAGGGCCCTAAAGGGGAAAGCGCTTGCTCTACTGAATCACAAAGCAAGGTCATGAAGCGGGGCTGGACCCCAGGGCTCCCCACATCACGCCTGCAAGACAAGGGTGTGTTTTAACGCTGGCTCTGCCACCGACTAGCATGTGGCCCTGGGCAAATTTCTCAGCTTCTTGGAGTCTCGGCTTCCCCTCTGGAGACTGGAGTGGAGATACCATTACTCTAGTAAGGGGTAGCTATAAAGATCGAATGGAATAATGCACATAAATCTCTCGGCTTGGTAGGCAGCAAGTGCTCCGTACACATTAACTATGAGGTTACTGCTGTGGTTACTGGGACTCCAGACACACAAGGTGGTTGAATGGCCAAAGGACATCATGCAAGTCAACTGTCTAGGACCCAGAGTCTTCCTCTCCTCTCTCTGAGTCATCATCTGTGCCTGGTTGGTGGGTGCACAGAGCAGAGTGGATGTGGGCTGAGCTCTGTCTCCCCGGGTGAGTCTGGGCCCAGCCGTGGTCCCTTCCCTGAGGCCCGAGACTGGTGCATCCTTGGCACCTACCAGCAGAGAGCTGGAGTCCTTCAGCTTGGACTTGTACAGCATCCACCGGTAGCGCAGATCTTCCAGCTGATCCGAGGTCCCCCTTGCTGGCCCAAGACGAAGGAGGTTCTCAAAGAGATGCTGACCTTCTGGTACCCGAGCCTCCAGCTCCTGGGGGGAAATGACAGTGTCATGGTGTAGCTTCCAAATGTCCCAGACAGCCCCGCTTGGCTGGTAAGGACGGGCCAATCAACTTTGACAGAGAGGCACATGGGGAGGAGGCAGTCAGAACTGGTAAAGTGAGACTTCCATCTGTGCAAATTCAAGCCAAGGCCCAGCAACTGCTCTCTGGAATGTTACAGAACGGCCTCCTGCATGGAAGGGGCAGCTGGATTGCCGACCTCCGGTGGTTGCTTCCAACACTGACATTCTAGCATCGAGTTCTCCAGAGGGCTTGACGTAAGAGTCAGCATCATTAGAAAAGCTATCATTGTTGAACACATCTTTCCGTCGGCATTTTTGAGCCTGGCAGAGTGGTGCTGGAATGGGCAGATCTTTCGTTCAAAATACAGTACAGTGTTCCCGTACGATGGTACCTTTTATTCTCAGGACTCCCGAAACGTTGCGTGATGTGGGTATAGGAACAGGACTCTAAATCCAGGAGCCTAGGTTTAAATCCTGGCTTTGGATCCTGGCTCTGCCCCATCCCACTAGCTGTGCAATATGGGGCAATTTGCTTAGCTTCTCAGAGCCACTAGGATGCGGGCTGTACAAGAGCAAAGGGGTTTAACGTGGGGAAATGAAAGTCTTCTCTGATACGGCTGGAGTTGGGTGGTGGCAGTGGTGGGAAATGAGAGGGGCAAGCCAAGCATGAGAGAGGAGGTGGAGGCAGGAAGGGCCAACTAGATGACTGGGACCAAACCTCTCACTGAGGACAAAATATGAAAAGCATTTTAAAGGCATTAAGGGGTTAATGAAAGAATGAAGCACATCAGACCAAAAACTCAGGAAAGGTTGAGAAGTCGGTGCTGTGTTTAGGCCTGCTTTTGCCCTTACGGTATTTGCAAATTTGGAAGAAATAGCTGTAAAACAGACCTGTGCTTTTGGCAGCCTCACAGGGGTAAGGAGATGAAGGTCAAAGTCTGGGCCCTGCAGAGGTGAAGATTCTCAAAAACCATTTGCCCTTTAGCTGAGACATCTAAAGCCTTTACCCTCAGAATAAAAGGAACCTGGACATTGTGTGGACTTGCAGCCTGGCTCCAAGTCGTCTCAGTGGTCCAGGGAACCTCAAGCCTTGAACTTGGACTCAGTGGTCCCAGAATGATAAAGCTTGCACTTGCCGGGCAGCAGCAAACAAAATCTTCTCTGGAGGAAGAGATTATCCTACATCTCAAATTACTCTTACACATATTTTGTCAAACACAATGTCCAGAACATAAACAAACCAGCTACACACAAGAAACCAAGAACAAGATCAGCCAGAAATAATACACAATAAAAACATTTCTAAAATGCCTTGAGATACTTGAATTATTAGACACATTCCATAAAACAGCTATGTTTACTATGTCCAAAGAATTAAAAGACAAGCTTAATTTCAGCAATGATATGGAAGCTATGAAAAATGATAGAGCAGATTATTAAAAGAACCATATAGAAGTTCTAGAACTGACAAATACAACAACGAAAGTTAAGAACTCAATAGACATGTGTAACAGCAAATGAGACACAGCTAAAGAGAGAATTAGTAAACTGGAAGATGGGTCAGAAAAAACCATCCAGAATGCAACACAAAAAGACAAAAGGATGAAAAGTACACAAGAGAGAATAAGAGACATAATGCACACAGTGAGAAGGAATGACACATTTAAATGACATCACATAAGGAGGGGAGGCAATATTTTAAGAGATAATATTGATGAATTTTCCAGAAAGACCCTAGACCACAGATTCAGGAGTTCAAATGAATCCCAAGCAGGATAAATGAAAAGAAATCCAAACTCTAAGCTATCATAGTAGAAAATCAGAAAAAGAAGGAAAAAGAGAGGTAGGCAAGGCCAAAGTGAGAAAGCCTTGTGTGATAAACTTGGGGGTTTAAAGTCTACATTGAATGGTTTTCATCAGGGGGAAGACAAGGTCATATCTGTGACTCTGAAGGGTCAGTCTGGCTGCGGAATCAGCCATAACCTGGAAGTTGGGCCCAAAGGGAAGAAGGGAGACCAGCTGGGAGGATATTGCCACAAAGTCAAAAACAGTAAGTGCCCAAAGTAAGACAATGGTAGTGAAAAGGACTGAAACAAAAAATGTCCAGGAGGTGGAATCGAGGAGGATCCGGTGACTAATTAGACATGGCAGTGAAGAAGAAAGAAGAGAAATGGTAGCTTGATTGCAAAAATGGCCATGACTTCCCCATCCCCCTTCCCCTGGCCACATGCAAGTTCTTTGCAAAATGACTTTCCAGCACCCCCCATCAAGGGATGGAGCCTATTTTCCCTCCCCTTGAATCTGGGCTGGTTTTGTCCCATGGAATGCAGGGGAATTAAAATGCTATGCCCTTTCCTAGCCTAGGCCTCAAAAGGCCTTGCCTGCTCCCAGCTGCTCAGACCCTGCCTCTGCTATGCGAAGTCCAGGCTGTCCCACAGGGCAGCAAGAGATGTGTAGTCCATGTCATTCTCATCTCCAACAGCCAGAAGCAGAGCTGCCCTGCTGACCTGCCACCGACAGCAGACAGATGATGGAGACCAGCCAAACCCAGAAGCAGCGCCCAGCCGAGCTCAGCCTAACCTGCCAAGCTTCAGAATCACAAGTTAAACAAACAGTTGCTGTTTTAAACCACAAACTATTGGGGTGGTTTGTTACACAGCAATAGCTAACTGATACAGGAGTCAAGCCGTTAGTGGTGATAGTTTGCATGTAGGGAAATACGGAAGTGGGCTGAAGGGAGGGATAAATGCCAGGAAAAGTTCTTTCAAAATCTTTGAACCTAAAGAGTTTAAAAACCATTATTTACAAACAAGGGAGAACAGATCATGAACTATGTCTGTGCTCCTTTTTTCTGAAGAACTCCTGGTGGCAGACATATCTGCAGGTACAACCTCTGCGGGCAAGAGACTTTTCCTTGGGAACAAACCTGCAGCTTCATTTCTCTGGTCCTCAGGTCCCTGGCTGTGGCAGTTCTCATTGCGATGATTCTGACCAGCTTGGAATTTTCCACCTGCAACCACTGCTCAAAGTTCCTCAGGAGCTGGGCGAAGTCTTCATGGCTGGCTTCGTCCTCCTGGAGCAGGTTTGCCTGCAGCAAGGCACGTGGCCAAAGCATTAGAGGTGGAAAAACCCACTGGCCATGTGTCCTGGGGATTCCGCCTGAGGTAGAGGGACAGGGACGAGGACAGGATGCCCAAAAGGTGACGGGGGAGTCTGGGGGAGGAGGGGTGAATCTCTACTCGAAGTGGCCACATTTAGGGGCCAAGAGCATGGCTCACTTTCTGCTTCCTGGTCCCCTGGTAGAAAATACAGTGGTCATCCTTGTACCACGCATGTCCCCCTCTGGGCTCCATGGCCACAGTGATCTGTACAATGTGCAAGTCTGTTTAACTAAGTCTTTGCTAATACACTTTGGTGGCTTCTCACATCTCCCCAGTATGGCCCCAGAACCTCAGGCTCTGCTTTCTCCCACAGTGCTCCTGCCTTCCCTGTTCTCTGAGCAAGCAGATGCCGAGTCCCAGCCCTGCAAGCGGGCGCTCGCTCGCCCTCTGGGTCTGTGCACACACTGTCCCCTCCGCCTGGACACGCCTCCCTCCTGGTCTCTCCTGTGCTCCCACTCCGCCTCGAGGATTCAGCTGACATTTCATGTCGCCACCACTCGCTGCAGGCTCCCCTAACGTCTGGCCCCCCTGCACCAGGCTTTGTGCAAACTCTTATTTAGCTGCCTGTGGATCCCCCTCCCTTGCTCCTGGGCCCAGCAGCATGGGCGGGTCCTGGGAGCTTGTGAGACATGCAGAATCAGTCTCGGGCCTCCCCAGACCTTCTAATTCACAACGTGCATTTTAACATAAGGCCAGGTGCACATCGCAGTCTGAAAAGCTCGGGGCTGGAGTCTAAGTTCTTTGAGGGCAGGAAGTGTCATTCACAGCTGTATCTCAGCTCTGAGCACAGCCCTTGGAACGAACAAACACTCAATATGTGTGTTTGGGATGAGTGAATGGAAGAATGAATGAATAATTCGACACATTGTTTTTGAAGGACAAGCAATAATTGTCTTTTCAACACGGTTCCATTTTTTAAAAGGCAGTAGGAGGAAGTGATGGATGATACAATGTTGTTAGTTCTTTTCACAAAATACAGCCATGGCACAAAAATACACCCATCTTGTACGATTTCAGTTTCCAACCTGGGACACCAGCAGGAAGTTGTCAGCCCTGGCGCCCTCCTCCCTGAAGTGGCTGCTGCTAGTGGTTCAGAGAGGCGAGTACCTGTCTGGCCAAGGGACGTCTACATCCCCCCCAGTGGCCTGGCTCTGCAGTCTGGGATGTCTGAGGCCCTCCGCGCAGTGGCAAATGCTCCCTGGGCCATGGCAGGGGCAGGCTTGAGCGAGGCAGGATGTGCCAGTCCTTAGAGCTGAGCATGTGGCCTGGGCAGGGAGGGACTGTGCTGGGGACCCCCACCCCCACTTGACCTGGGACCTGCCCCTTCTCCTGCAGGCCCACCGGGAAGACTCACCTGACGACGATGCCTGGGAATAGGATCTGTAGGGTTGATGAGAAACCCAGACTTTGGGATGTTGTTAGTGAAAACCATTTTCTTCCCCGAATCCACTTCTGTCCTCTGCAGCTTCCAGTTTCTGATGAGGCTGAGAAGACAAACTCAGCCCCATCAGTGCGGTGATGTGCCGAGGACCCACCAGGCCACGGGAGAATAGAATTGGGGGATCAGGGGTGCCGAGTCAGGGCCCTGCTTCAGGTCTGTCAGAGTTCCCAAAGCATAGTCAAGTCTAGTTTCTGACTTTAAACTCACATTACCCTGCCATCAAGGTGCAGACACCCATTGGTACAGATGGGGAAACTGAGACTGAAGCCAGAATAGGCTGGAGGCGAACTCCCAACCCAGGGACAGTTCCTGGCCTTTCTTGCCCCCGAGAGAATCACCAATTGGGCAAAGCATGGAGATGCCCCAGGCACCCGGCGCCACGCCGGGAACACAGCAGAGCCCCTGCCTTCTGCTCCACGAGCACCCTTGAGCGCTCCCAGGTGGGGAGGGGCGTTGTCCCGGACAGGGCTCGGAGCCGGAGGTGCTCTCACCTCAGCAGCCCTTCCTCCAGCAGCCGCAGGGCCCGCCACGACTCCGTCAGCTCCCTGAGCTCCTGCTGCACCATGGCAGCCCCCTCCGGGGAAGACTTCTCCATCACAAGCCGGCCGTGCGCTTCAATGAGGGGCAGCTGGGCCTCCTTCTCCGGGAAGTCCGCCACCAGCCTCTACAGGACACACAGACACGCAGTGAGGTCTCGGGCTGGGGAAGGTCTCTGCGCGCTGCCACCTCCCGCCCCCCAGCGTGGAAGTGTTGGCCTGTTGAGGCTGCTTTTGGGGGATGCAGGAGAGGAAATCACCACCTTACCTCCACCTCGACCTCTTGGGACTCGACGTCCCAGGGGCCGGTGTCCCCCCGGTGTGACTCCAGCTTCTGCGTGACCGCAGCGATCCACTGCCGCAGCTCCAGCAGCTGGTGGCCGAAGGTGCAGTGCTCCCGCACGCCCTGCTGACACCTGTCCACGAGGTCCTGCAGCACAGCCCGGGGGACCCAGGGTGCCCTGAGTGCTGGCCAGAGAAGAGACCCTGGGCACCGTCCCCACCCTGAAGGACCCCCAGACCTGCCCAGACCTCCAAGGGTCCCCACCCCGCAGCAATGCAAGAGGCTGGTCCTGCCTTCTACACGGCACAAGGAATTCAGTCCCGGAAGATCAACTCTGGTTTAAAATGCTTCTCGAGCCTGTTTTACTTTCATGGAAACTACCAAGTCTAGGTGAGGGTGGGGGAAACCTGAGCTCTTGTCTCTTGTCTGCCACCGATGTAAACTGGCACAACCCCTTGCGGAAACCGCTGGTCAGTATCTACTACAGCTGAACACGATGTACCTCGGGATACAGCCATTCCACTCCTGGGCGTACACCCCATGGAAATGGGAACCTACCCTCACCAAAGGGCACCCACGTGATGTTACTTGTGATAGCCCCAAACTGGAAACGACCCACATGCCCATCAAGAGTACAGTGAATAATACACGGTGGTAGATTCATATGATGAAACGTTTTACAGCAGCAAGAAGGATCAGGCCATAACCACATGCAATATTACAGATGAATTTACTTACACACAAAAGAAAACATTCTGTCTGATCCAATTTAAGTGGAGGATGAAATCAGGCAGACTCTATGCTGTGACAAGCCTGGGGTCAGGGTGACCCTTCAGGGTCGGTAATGGTGGGCTGGGCAGTGCCCCAGGGGCACCCGGGCGCTGGGAGGCTGGTATTATTCTGGGTTTTATCTGGGTGCTGGCAACAAAGATGCATTTAATTTTTTAAACATTTATCAAGCTGTACACTTAGATATTCATTTTCCTGTATATGGTTGTGCTTCAATAAAAAGTTTGTCAAAATAGTCTACCAGTTTTCTCTCCTTTCTGGGCCAACATGTTGCTCAGCTCTCTGAGGCAGGGACCTTGCTCTTCTCTGTCTCCAGGAAGGGTGGGCACTGAGCCCGGGGGGTAGCCATTCTCCGTCCTCCTGGCCACCCAGCCTGGGCCCCTCGTCAGCCCACCCCCACCTAGTCAGACCCCAGGCCACGGTCCCGTCCTGCTGTGTGGCCTGGATGAGGTCTTCATGACTCTCTGGCCACTGCAGGCCCTGCCTCCTGCATCCCACGACACTGGCTGAGATCACTGTGTGCCAGGCCTGTACCAGGGACGTGCCAGGGATGTCCCCGTGCTGGGGACGTTGCTGCATCTGTCCTCAACAGATCTTACAAAGGCCTGAGAACTTATCTAAAACTCCACTTCTCTGAGCTCTGCTGGCCCCTGTGTACCAACATCAGAGCAAGTGCCCTCAAAGGCTCCCCACTGCACAGAGCTGTGATCTCCAGTATGGGATCTCGCCCCCAGGGGGACGCGGAGATCACTTCACGTATTAGGACTTATTAGACTTAAGCACTGAGTACCAGAATAATCAAAGAAGGGCAATTTCTTTTTAAAGAAGCATGTAAACAGTAAATAAAGAAGTACGACAGAATGAGAACATCATCTTGCAACCACCAGCGATGCTCAGTGAATGCTGCTTCTTATAGTGATGAATCTAGCTCATCATTTATTTGCATGTAGGTAAAGCTGACTTTTGCTGCTTCTATGGGTTTCTGGGGGCTCCCGAAGGGTGCAGACAGTGTTTTCTATTTCTCTACTCCCACTGCCTCAACCTTGAGACCATTAGCTACTAATTTATTAACTGGAATTAAACAAATTCAAAGAGTCCTTATCATAGCTTAGATCAGTGGGTCTCTACAGGTGGTGCCTGTTTCCTGGAAACTCGTGGGGGGAGTTTTGGTTGCTGCAGTAATGAGGGGGTGAGGGTGATGCCAGCGGATACAGTGACAGGCCTGGGTGCCGCCATCCCATCCTCGGGAGGACAGTCCAGCAATGCAGAATGCCAATGCACAGACCCCACAGGATGTTCTAATGTCCTACCAACATCCACGGCAGTTAAAAACAAAAACAAAAACAAAAACCCTGTTCATCACAACCGGAGCTTAGACTCTCACTCTAGTTAACACACAAACACGAAGAGGTTTTTGCAATTTTAACAAAAATGCTTGACTTCTCCAGGAATGCAACCATTGTGTAAACCAATGGGAGGCGGGTCTTGGACTAGAGGGGCGTGTTCTGACCTCCTCCTACGTCTTGAGTGTGGCCATCTGGGAGTACCTACGTACTGAAGTACACTATTTTATCATAATTACTTTTATTTCTCTTTTCTATTTCCTGTGTGGGTTACTTACAATATCTATGAATTTCAAAATCGTAAAGAGGCTGTTGGGAATATTTTTTATTAAAATAGGGCATGCGGGATCGGGATGGAGACGCTGCCTGGGACTGGGTTTTCTCGCGGCGTGACTGCCAGAGACCAGCTCTGCTCTCCTCGGGGCTTGTTGCAAAGGCAGAAACAGGACTCCACCTGAATCAGTGTCAGAGCCGGGCCTGCGTCTCCATTCCAGCTTATCCTCCCGCCAATTCTGAAGGTGCCTGGAGTTCCATTCCCACCGCTGGGGGAGACTCAGTCCTGTGCCAATGCCAGGAAGACCTTGGGAAGCCACTAGGGGGCACTGCAGACAAAGCTCTGCGGCCTCCCCGTCTCAAACACGCTGCAGAGTGCTGGGGCCTCCAGGGCGCCGTGAGGATCACAGCAGCCTGCTCTATTTTTTTGCCTCACAGCCCTTATCACAATATGGAATCCTGCGTTCACTTGTTTGCTGATTAATTGTCCATCTCCCCATCTAGAACATAACCCCCTGCAGGGCAGGGGCCTTGGCTGTGTTGCTCATATTACCTCCACCCTCGGGCCTAGAACACTGCTTGGCATACAAGAGGTACTCAATAATAGTCTGTTGCATGAAGGCGGAAGGGAAGGAAAAAAGGGAGAAAGAAAAAAAAAAAAGGTTGGGTGGAATGAAGGAAGGAAAGAGGGAGAAAGCCCCCAGGCGTGTAGGATCCCAGGGGCCTGGTCTCTGCCCCAGCACGAGCCCTTCTGTGGCCCCTCACCTCCAGAGCCCTCTGCAGGGCCTGGTAGTCGGAGGAGAGCTGGTCCATTCTGTGCTGGTGGTTGGGATTCCCTTGGGCGAGAGGCTTCAGAGCCTCCATCTGCGCCCCCAGGTCCAGCCCCTCTTCCTGCAGCCCCTGCGGAGGAGAAAGGAATGGGTGGGCTGATCAGGGTGGGGCTCTGGGGGGAGAGCCTGGGGTGGGGGGAGGCTGCCCCAGGAGGCAGGGCTCCCCCACACCTGCGGCCGCACCATGTGTATGGCTGGTCTGACGGGCCCACTCTCAGGGCTGGAGAGATTTAAAAAATCAGACAAAAATATCCTGGGACACCACGAAAATAAACCCTGCTGCAGACCAGACGGCATCTCAGGGACAAACTAGTCACATCTGGACTTGTCCTTGATGGTTACCTCTTGTTACGAGGAAGCACATCCCGATTTCAGTTGCCCCAAATTCACCATCTTTCACGTCGTCCCAAGAACACTCAATTTATGTGTGAGCCGTGCTTGAGTTTTAAAAAGATAAATGTGTATCATATGCATTTTAAAAACCTGCAAGCCCCTTATTCAGCCAACAATTATCAGGGATCAGCCGGACAGTCCACATGCATGTGTTTTTAAAATTATTCTTAATCCCCAAATTGGTTTTTTTAACTGAAACTCTCTGGACTCACTAGGAATATTTTATAGCAAAGCAGCTTTAAAAACTAATACCAGTGTTAGACTCTGGAACTGAGGAGTAAACAAAAAGCTTTTTGTTTTGTTAGGCTTGAGAATCAGTAATTGGAGGCCAGGAACCATCAGATACATGAGCAAAGATTCTGTTGAGACGAAAGGTCAGATCTCAAGGAAGGGTCTAAATCTCGGGCTCAAGCCAGCTGCTGCTTTGCTGGTTGCTGCTAAAGGAAGGGGGCTGCTCGTAGGTGCAGCTGAGCACCTGGGTAGGGGGGACTCGGGCCCCACGGACCCCTTACCTGCAACCTCGAGAGCTGGGCCTGTTTCCCAGGAAGGTCCCGCTGCGGCCCATTCTCAGCACGGACCCTGACTTGGAGGTCCAAGAGCTTTGTCTGCAGGGGCTCAAAACCAGCTCCAAAGTCCTTGTGCTGAGCGAGCAAGCTCTGCAGAGACACAGACAGGGCAGCACGCACGTTAAAAGCTTTCCTCACGGGCACCTTGCTGTAAGACCGGACCCTTGCAGCCAGGCTGCTCTTGGTCTCAGCCAGCTCATACTCGCTCAGGCACCACCCATGCCAGGAAGCCTTAGCGGAACCTGATGGGGTTGGCTGCCTTTCCTTAGGGTCACCATAGTGTCCTCCCATAACGCTTAGACCACATCCCTCTAGAATGGGGACTGGCAAGCTACATCCCCCCACCCACCAACCAAATCCCACCAGGGGCCTGTTTTTGTGAATAAAGGTTTACTGGGACGCAGCCACGCCCATTCATGTACAGCTGCTTTCACACCACAGTGGCAGAGGTGAGTAGCTGCAGCAGAGACCGCCTGCCCTGCAAACACCAAAACCTTCACCCTCTGGCCCTTTATGAAACACTTCTCAAACCCTTGCTCTAGAACAGCACTTTGGTGCCTCCTGGTAATTGCCTATTTATTTGTCTTCACCACCAGGCTGCAAGCATTTGAGAGCAAAGATCTTGGCTTCCTAGAACCATACCAGGCCCTGCTGATGGTGGCAACAGCACCCGGGAGCTGAGCTCATGGGCTGAGTCCTGGCTTGGCCACCCATAGACCATGAGCCTCTCACTTGACCATCCTGCCTTAGTTTGCTCATGGGTAAAACAGGGAAAGTAAAAGCACCTCCCTCATAGTGTTCTTACTTAGATTAGATAAGAACAAGGATCCAAAGCTGGCTCATAGGCAGTGCCCCACAGATCACAGCTATTATCGTCACCATCGTTGGATGCTCAGCAGACATTTGTTACATAAAACAATAAGCTGCCCACAACGTGCCGTGCCATGCCACGTCTTTGACTTCGTGTAATCATTTAGCGATGTGTCACTGTTAAAGCTAGCTGCCAGCTCTGTGGCGGCGGAAAGTTCACAAGTGCTTTTATCTGCATTTTCTTATTTGACTCTCCCCCGGCTCTCGGCAGAAGACTGGGCCTGCTGCAGTTTGACTGCAGTGCAGAGAGGGGGCTTGGGGCAGGGTTGGGAGGCAGCCAGGTGGCCAGAGAACCAGGTGAAGGGATCACGCAGGCATCCGACCCAGTTTACCCACAAAGAGCCAGAGGCAAGGGGTGGGGCCGAGATCAGAACACAGGGTGCCCGCCTGCCCAGAGGAGCGGCCCCAGACCCGCGGGCAGGCTCCAGTCCTGAGCAGACGCCCGAGATGCTCACCTGCAGTTTGCTTTTCCTCTGCAGAAGGCTGTTATGTAGCAGGTCTCTGTCCCTCACGGAACCTGCCGCCTGCTCCAGGAGAGCTGTGGCTCTCTCCTGGCCGAAGACGCTGACCAGCAGATCTGTCTTCAGCTTCAGCATGGTCAGCTGCTCCTTCAGGCGGGAGCTTTCCGCCAGGGCCGCCTGCGGAGACAAGGCCCCCAGTAACCACAGAGCACAGCCAACCGGCAGCACAAAGCTCGGAACGGGGCCAGCAGCACACCTGTTCTGGCTGCAACTTCTCAGGAAGCTGTGCCTTTGTGCTGGTGTCTGAGGAAGCAGCAAACACAGGTAGAAATACGAGCTGGCAGGAATGCGTTGGGGAGATCCTGAATTTCAAAGCTAACTTTGGTTCCTCTCTCACCCCCACATCCATCTCGACACTTGAGCCTGAGTCTCTGCCTCCTACACGTCTCGGAAACCTGACTCGTCTACACTGCCACTGCCATGGCTGTGACATACCTTCAGCCTCGCCCACCTGCCCCACGCAGCTCCCGACTGCCTGCTGCCTCGCAGGCGGCCCCTCAGAATCGACCCTCCACATTGCAGACAGATCCAGACCTAACCAGCTTGATCCTCTATCAATGAGCTCCCCCCCCATCACCGACAGCAGTAGGACCCCCAGCAGTGTTTTGGACATTCTGAAGGGGGCTGTGGGCCTATGGGAGCACAATGAGAGGGGATCCGGGAAGGCTTCCCAGAGGAGGCAACTCCTCGACAGAGTGCTGACGGTGGTGACGTGTGGGAGTTTGCCCGGCAAAGAAGGGACCTAAGGGGACTCAGAAACCTCATATAATGGCAGCTGGCTCCCACACAGCCTGAACTCTGCACTGCCCAGGCCCCACCTCCTCCAGGAAGACCATCCTGACCACATTCCCAGCCTACGCTCACCCTGCTTTCCCCAAACCCTGCAACTCTTACAGCCTGAGCCAAGCCTGGGCTCTCCAGCTGTCTTAGATAAGCATCTCTTGCTTCTCCAACCAAGGGTCTGGGCTTCTGGAAGCCAGAGGTTTTGTCTTCAGCTGGCAAGAGTCCTTCTGTTTTATACCGGATGATGTTACTGAGAACCCACTCTCAGACTTAAGATGCTTAGGTGGGCGTGGGGCTGGGAGAGGATGAACAAAGATCCCAGGTAAGTAACTTTGATTCAACACAGAGAATGATCATTTTCCTAAGCAAAGTCTGACCTAGTGCTGTGGGAGCTCAAGGCAGCAGTGGACACTTCCAGTTGGGGAAATCAAACCGTGTCTTGGAGGAGGCCGTGTAACCACCACGGCTGCCGCAGCTGTACTGGCGTGACCTACACGTGCAGGCACCTGGCTTGTGGCCAGGCACACAGAGGTCAGGCCTCTCACTGGAGGGGAGTCACCTCCACCCCCTTTTCACCAAGCGCAGACACAATACCATGGGGGTCAAGCATGTAGGCTGGGAAGTTGCAATGGTGCGTTGGGATTATGTAGTGGCTGGGAGGCCTTGGGCACTTCTGAGCCTCAGTTTCCTCTTTTGTAAAATGGGCTCCCTGGCTCCCATCCGCCGTCCGCGAAATGAGGAGGATAATGGTAGAAATGGAAATTAAAATGTGTATACATAGATATCCAGCATATATTAATTACAACAGTGAAAAATGAGAAATGACCTAAATCTCTAATTGTGGATACATTAAATTCTGGCATAGTCCAAACTGGAACGTTACGCAGCCACTGAAATCATCACTTTTATTTGAATGATTTTAAACTATGCTGAGAAAAAGCTCCAATATGTGCAGTGAAAATATAAGAATACACAACTATATAACATGATCCCCGATGCACAGAAATTGTAATTAATTCATTAAATCTTTTATTGGTGACCATATCTCATGGAAATGTCTAGATGGATTTCATCAGATGAAAAAGGTAGATTTGGGATTTTCTGACCTAAAATTGAGGTTTGTCGCACACGTGAAATTCACTTTGGGGAGCCCTGAGGAGTACCTCGAAAACATAGACCATCATGCTTTGGAGCATGGAGGGGAAGAGGCCACTAGACCCTTGGGAAGAAGGGCTACGCCCTGCAGCCTAACAACCATGGAGACAGAAAACAAATTCTTATTCCAACACGAGCCCCAGATGGAAAATCTCAGGGTAGATGCACCGAAACGCAGGCACCGGTCTCTGGTGGAACAGCGTGCGCAGGAGGCACGGGCGCCAGCCGGGTCACTGGTTCTCCCCAGTTATACCACGCAGGGCAAGACAGTGCTGGGGAAAGTGCCCCAACACGTCAGCAGTGGTCCCTGGCTCGGAGGACTACGGAAGCTTTTTGTTTTCTTCTTCCCACGTCTCTACATACTCTAACCCTTTTATAATCAGAATGAAAATTAATATAGAATGGGGGCTCACACCTGACACACTTCTATGTCTCTTCCCACTGTGGTGTCTAAGAACCTGTAGACACAAAAGCCTTTTATGGAACCACAGGCAGTATGTACAGGCCGTGGGAGCCACCATGGTGGCAGGCATTGTGGCAGTCGCTGTCAGCTGCTCGTCGCACAACCGTTCTTTTTCCCACACCAAACAGCCAGGACTTTGTTTGGGCAGCCAGGCGCCCCACTCCAGGGCTATGAATGTAATTGGTCCAAGCCCATCGTGCAATCCCATCATCCTCAGCTGGCGCTTGGCCCAGGGTGGTCACATGACCTCGAGACCAGTGAGACGTAAGGGGCGTGTGCTGGGGCGCTGGGGGGTTTGCCTCCCTGCTCAAAGGCGGAAGTGGCCGTGGAGAGAGCCCTTGCGTGCCGTATGTTGTTCCTGGGGTGCTGTGCGTGTGGAGTGGTGGCAGCCATCCTGGGGCCATGAAGGGAGACCTGGCTTGGAGCTACACAGGGCCTGGGCCTGGTGACACTGCTGAGCTGTCAAGTCAGCCCCAGGCTGCCTGAACATCTCTGTGCTTGAAGCCACCGCTGTCAGGTTTCTGGCCACTTGTAGCCATAGTAAAGGTAACGGCCCGACACGCTGCTCTCTCCAGAACTGGGGTGCTTCCCAGAGGACTGCCCATAGGGGGTCCCTAGGGAAGGGGAGATGCTTGCAGGTGGAGGAGGGTCTGTGTGGGGTCACACCAGGCGGCAGGCTTCACCTTCTACCCAGGAACCGAGGACGACCGTGGTCACTGATAACAGACAAGCACCGACACCTCCTGTGCGCTTAGGACTCACCAGACCCTGTGCGCTCAGCTCCCCGCAGATACGTGGAGGAGCCAGGGACACAGCTTTCCCCGGGAGAGCAGCTGAAGTGCTGTGCCCGGCCGGCGGCCCACCCCAGCCACACCAGCCAGCCCTCCCGGCAGGAGCCCGGTTACCTCGATCTGGGGCAGGAAGGTGTGGAGGGAAGGCAGGTCGGGCAGGCTGGCGGTGACCTCCAGGAGCCGCTGGGCCAGGGTCTTCCACACCTGCAGACTCTGCAGAGGCCGCTGGAAGCGCTGCCACAGCTCTGTCTCCGCGGCGTTGCGCAGCCTGGTGCTCTTGCTCTTCAGGCTGCGGGGACCGTGGAGAGGGGAAACCGAGAGAGGAGAGAGAGCGGGCTCAGGCCAGGATCAAGGCCTCTGTCGGACCCAGGGGCCCAGCGTGTGCTGCTCCCAGGTGGGCTCTCTCCTATCGCGCAGGCTGCTGGGGGCGTGTGCAGCAACGGACTCAGAATATAGATGAAAGGGACTGTGGTTAACATTGATATGAAAAGTGTCTTCCTAAGGACAGACACTGGGGCTCCCTGGGACCTGTAAGTGCTTAGATAAATCAGACACATGACAGTCCTCTGATCTGAAGCAGGTGTAAGGAGGTGGGAGTTAGGAGTCAGACAGATCAGCTGTGTGACCTTAACTGGCTCAATGTCAGTGAGCCTCAGTTTTCTCACCTGTAAAATGGGCACCACAAAGCTCTTCTCATAGTCACTGAGAGTGTTAGATAACAGATGAAGACTTCTTCCAGTAATGGAAGACTAGTTAATTCAGACTGGCCCTCTCATTGAGGACAAAAACAAATAAACAAACAAAAATGCTTGATCAAATTTTTAAAATAAATAAATGACAGAAATGCGAGTCTAACATCCAAAGCTACTACTTTGACCCTGAAGGCATTTGCCAGTCTGGAAGAAACAGCCGCACAGCTGAGCTAGGGCTGGGGCAGCCTCTCGGCGTAAGGACCCACCAGCGGCGGCAGATTCCGATACCTGCGTCTCACGTTGAGCTGGGATCTCAAAGGTCTGTGCCCTCAGGATAAAAGTGCCCTGCAACAAGACTGTCATCGAACTGACTGACAGCCCAGCCAGGGAACCACAGCCCGGAAGGTGAGTTATGGAGACTCCAGACTGGTCCCGCCCGCCCTCTGCCTTCCCACATACCTCTGATACTCCTGGATGGCAGCAACGATGCTGTCGGAGAGCAGCTGCAGGTCGTGGGGGAAGCCGATGACCTCCTTCAGCTGGGCCTGCAGCCAGTCCACCCGGGGCTCCTCGGAGGCCAGCGCCGCCCGCGTCACCTGCAGCACGTGCAACACCCCAGGGGCAGGGTGAGGGTCCTCAGAGGGAGGGGTGTGTGTGCAGAGGGGGGAGCGTGGCCAGTGGGGGTAGGCCAGGCTGGGAGAAAAGTGTCCCCAAGGGCAGGGAGTGGGGGCCGCACCCTTGAGCCCAGCCCTTGCTCCCCTGCCTCCCACCCCGGGTGACCTGGCACCTTTGCTCTCACTGAGCTACACTTTTTTTTTTTTTTTGAGACAGAATCTCACTGTGTTGCCCGGGCTAGAGTGAGTGCCGTGGCGTCAGCCTAGCTCACAGCAACCTCAAACTCCTGGGCTCAAGCGATCCTCCTGCCTCAGCCCCCCGAGCAGCTGGGACTACAACCATGCGTCACCATGCCCGGCTAATTTTTTCTCTATATATATATTTTTAGCTGTCCAGATAATTTCTTTCTATTTTTAGTAGAGACAGGGTCTCACTTTTGCTGGTCTCGAACTCCTGAGCTCAAACAATCCGCCCGCCTCGGCCTCCCAGAGTGCTAGGATTACAGGCGTGAGCCACCGCGCCCGGCCACTGAGCTACACTTTTGCTCTTTATTGCCACCGAACTCCCAGCATTGTGAGCGCCTAATAATACAAATGACTGTCCAGGGAGCAGTGACCCCTAATGCTCAGGGCTCTGGGTGTCCCGTGCACTTGAGCCTTGCAACAATCCTGGGAGGTGACTCTCCACCACGTCCCCGTGTTATTCACAAGGACACTCAGGCTAAGAGTTTTCTGGTGGTTGCAAAGTCCCTAACGGTAGACCTGATGTCAGAGCCGGGCCTTTGCTTGCCTCTAAAGGTGCCCTGTGAACCCCGTTATCATTCTTGGCAGGATGATATTTGCACTGACTATTCCCAAATTGCTTCCCTTCACTGTGTGAAGCAGCCTTTCCCTGCTGTCCTGGGAAGTTCGGAGTTTGACCTTGACCAGCAGGACTGCCGGCCGCTTGCTGGGCTCCTGCTCCGAGGGAGGCAGGGCGGGTAGTGGCGAGTGCCTTGGCTTTGGCACCACACAGAGCTGGCCTAGAAACCCACCTCTACCTCTTCCTAGCTGTGCGACTTTGGCCTGTTCCCTCCCACGGGGCAGAGAAGGGCAGCTGTCCTCCCACTGGACTTTGTGTCTGGGTCTGGAGCCCACCCTGCCCTCCACTGCCCGCTGCTTGGCCCCCAGATCCCCCATCGTGTTTAGTCCTCATCATCTCACACTAAGAGCTTCCCCTTCGGACATAACATTCCCCACCCCTTCCTCTTCCCACTACTGGGCAAGGGAGTGGCTTCGAGGCCCACACCTGGCTGCCCAGTTCTCCTCTGGTCTTATTTACTCACCAACTCACCGTGTGGCCCTGGGGATGGTGGGGGGAAAAAAAAATCTCTCCAGGCCTCAGTTTCCTCATCCAGAAAATGGGGATAAACACCCACCTTGTCTACGACCCCTCAGGGAACTTAGAAACCCTGGGACAGCCAGATTGAGTCTGGCATCTCCCATCACACAGAGGACTCCGAGTGGCAGCACCCCGGGGTGCAGACAGCACCTGGCCTGTTCTGTAGCTTGGCCCATCACTGCTCACCGAGTAGAGCCTCCAGCGGGCCACCAGCTCGTCCTCGGTCCCTGCCTTCGCCGTGGGCTCCGGGCCCTCCTGGGCCAGCCTCCGCAGGCCCTCCTTGAACTCGCCCAGTGCGGCCTCCAGCCGCCGGATCTGCTGCTCACAGGCGCCCCTGGACTCCTGCAGGCCCCGCAGCCGCTGCTCCTCCTCCTCCCTGAGGACGCGCAGCTTCTCCAGAACTGTCCTCATCTCCTCCAGTTCCCCAGTGATCTTCTCCGCGCCCAGAGGGGACGTGTTCTGAATGACCCCCGCAGACTGCTCCTCCAGCCGCCCCAGAGACGCCGCACCCCTGGGGAACTCTCTGGCGATGTCCTGAACAGAGAAGGGCGGGGAAGGGGAGAAACATCCGCTGCATTTCCCAGGCAGACCTGGGAATGCCGTGCCGAACGCTTGTTCCTAGACCCCGGGTTAGAGCCAGAGGGGCCTTGCCAAGCGAGATCCAGAAGCGAGACCTAGGAAGGGGGACTTGCAACACGGGAACTTGTTCCTTCCCCAGGTCTTCCTCACGTCACTGGACTAAGTCAAGGAGAAAGACCCTGCTGGGTGCTTCTCTTTCTGTTACACTTCCTGACATTTGTCAATCTTCCTTTTTAACAAAGAGAGAAGCAGCCTCAGGCTCGGAGCCCTCAGCCGGCAACACTGTGGGTCACGCAGGACCTAATGGCTCCATTTGGTTTCATTGCATTTATTTCTATAACTAAATACAATTATCTATTAATTACCTACTGATCGCAAATGGATGAATGGTGCTGGCTTTTCCATCTATGACGGTGATATACATTTTCTTTCTCAATAAATGATCACCAGTTTTTTAAAAAGCTAGCCAATTTAAATACAAATATTAAAGGAATAGTACAGGTGCTGCATTGTCGTGTAAAAAATTACAAAGTGGTCCTTGAATTACTGACGATAATCTATCCACTCACTTTACAGAGGGACTCAGGCTCGTCAGGCCAAGTGAGAAAGGCCAGAGTAGACCCCGCCCCCCCTGCAGGCTGATGCCACACCAGGCTGCTCCCCCCTTGGCACTACTGACTTTGGGGCTGGATGATTCCTCGTGGTGGGGGGCTGTGCTGAGCACTGCAGGGTGTTTAGCAGCACCCCCGGTCTCCACCTACTGGAGGCCAGTGGTGGCACCCAGTTGTGGCCAATAAAAATGTCTCTGGACATTGCCAAACGCCCCCCATTGCAGACCCCCTGGCCTAGGCTGCCATCCTGGGTCTCCAAATGCCCTGCTGGCTCCGAGATTTCCACACAGGAACCCAGGCCCTAAGTATTTTGTACAAGATTCCACGCTCCTTACAGGGGTCTGTGTGCCGTGGGTGTCTGTATCTCCCGGGCACCCAGCAGTGTCCTATTAAAAAAACTATGGCATGGTTGGCATGTGAGCACCCCCTCAGCAGACACCTCGGATTCCTCCGGTCTATGCGCGGCCGCGGTTACCTGCAGCACGGAGAGGCGGCGTGGGGTGGGCAGCTTGCAGTTCCGCCCGAGGCAGCCGTTCACTTTCTCCACCACGGCCTTCAGCCACAGCTGGAACTCGTCCACACTTGCCTGGTACTGCTCGTGCTCCCGGGCCACCCGCTCCAGCAGGGCCACGCGGTCCTGTGGGAGGGGAGAATCACCAGCCATGAGGGTCTCCAGCCCAGGCTGCCCCTGGCCTTTGAGGCCGGAGAATCAGCAGCCTGCCTGGGTGTGTGTGTGTGAGTGTGGGGGTGTGTGTGAGTGTGTGTGTGTGTGTGTGTTGAGGGTAGATGCAACCAACCCTCAGCCCTTTCGTGGGACACAAAGAGAACCCAGATGCTCTGTTCTACCTTATGAGCAATATGCCAAGAGACTTAGCTTTGGTGACCAAAGCAGGCTGGCACTGGACGCTGCCAACTGTGCAGCCACGTCCTAGGAATGGCCCTCAGGACTGGGGTGCAGTAAGAGCAACAGCAACAACAACATTAACACTACTACTACCTAACACTTATCATTTTGAACACTCGCCAAGTTGCTGGGAACTTGCTCTAAGAACTTCACGTGCGTGATCTCATGAACTCTCCTGACCACCCCGCAGGGTGGCACCATTATTATCCCAGTCTGACAGATGAAGACTAAGACGCAGAGAGATGAAGTGACTTGCCCAAGGTCACCCAGCTGGGCAAGTGCCAGGCTCCATTACACAACACGGTCTACAGGGTATGCGGGTAACTGACAAGCTGCCCCCACTTCCCCACAAATAGGATGACATTCACTGTGTGGGTTGGAACCATCTCTATTTTCAACCAATCCCACTGAAGGTCTAACCACACAGGGGCAAGATGATGTCCTGAGGTTGGCCGACCTTCGGGGAAATGACAGTGCCCCTGCTATAAGGCCCTCTGTGCTCCTAGAGACTCTGTTTTTCAAAACACTCCCTGATCACAGAGCTGTCTCCTTAAACCCCTCCCTGGCTTCCCCTTCCCCCCGGCTCAAGCCCAAGCCCCAAAGCCTGGTGGTCAAGGGCAGGTCCCCATGATGTGGCTCTGTGGTCCAGCAGTCAGAACCCTGGGGTTGGGAGCACACTGCCTGTGGCCTGAACTCCGGCCCCGCCTTGGGTACATAACTATCCCTTCTGTGCCTGAGTCCCCTCACCTGCGTGGTATGGTTAGCAACAACACCTGCCTCATTGGGGTGCAGTGAGATGAGATGAGTCAGAGCTCACCAACCCTAGAACTGCACCTGGTAGCTGGTGAGCACTTAATAAGTACCAGCCGCTGCTGATCACCTCCTGAGCTCCCCGGGCTCTCCTCACACCTCCGGAGGGTACCCATCGGCAATGCTAACCACTAGGCGACCCCTTCTTTCTCTGAAACCTTGCCCACTGCCCCAGGCTGAATTAACGGCCTTCCCTCTGTGTTCCCAAAACGCTGGGATGCATGCAACTCTATCACAGCACTTGTCTATGGTGTTGGCACCTGCTGGGGGAACCAAGATGTCCCTGGGGACAAGGTTGCCCTTTTCATTTCATCTCTCAGGGTCTAGCTCAGGGCAGGCTCTGTGACTGCCTCCTGGATGCAGGAAGAATAAACGTAGTGTCTGCCATGGGAGGGAAGTTTTCAAGGAAAGTCAAGAAAAGGGAAAGAGGTGACTCTCATTTAATAAGCACCTACATGTGCCTGGAGCTTGAAAGCATTACTGTATTTAATACTCACGACAATCACAAAACCCTCCCATTTTGCAAATGTCCAAACTGGAACTGGGACATCGTAGAACTCTTGTGGGCTTTACAGGTGAAATTCAAACGGGAAGTGTCGAACTCCAAGATCACTGCTTGAGCCCAGGGGGTGCCAGACTGTTTCCGTCACGGGCCATGTAGGGAATGTTTCAGCTTTGCCTGCCATACGGTTCCTGTTGCAACTACTCAACAGCTCGTGGGCTACTTATGCTGAAGCCCATAAGCAGCCGTAGATCATGTGTAAAGAATGGCTGCGTTCCAATACAACTTTAATTTGAACACTGAAATTTGGATTTCACATCATTTTCACACGTCAGGAAATATTTGGCTTTTCATTTTTTCCCAACCATTTACAAATGTAAAACACCATTCTGAGCTCACAGGTCACACACACACAGGCTGGATTTGGCGCACGGACCGCAGCTGGCCGATCTCAGACCTTCGCCACGGAGCCAGCTCATGTCCAGGGGTGTCCTGACCATCCGTGAGCTAAGTCAAAAGTTCTCGACTGGGAGGAGCGGACAGGCAAGTGGATTTGCAAAGCTTCCCTACGTACTTGTACATGCCTTCCCCTCCTTTGCGAAGCTCCTCACCCAATCTGGAAATATAATGCATTTAAACCTCGGCAGCCACCCACGGAGAAAATATCCCCATTGTAGAGATGGGGGAGCCCTTCTCCAATGACCTTCAGTGAAGAGCTCAATTCTCTGAAATTGCGGGTGCTGCTTGAACCCGAAAGTGGACCCAGACATGGCGGCAGCCCCCTTCGTGCTTCCTGCCAGCGGCTCTGGAGTCAGCGCTGGGGCCTCCCTGGCAAGCTCCCTCGCTGGGTCCCCTTCCTGAGGGCCCACTCACATCCATCAAAACCCTCCAGAGCGCGTCCCCCGGCCCCAGGAAAGGCTTATTTATGAAACAAAGTGGTTCGGGGATAACAAGCGGAGACTGGCCGATGCAAGCTCTCCTGTGAACGCGCCGGCTGGCGGCTCGAGCGCGAGAGTGGTGAGGCGCTGGCGCCCGGCCAGGGCCAGAGTAAATAAAAGTCTGCATGACAGGGAGCAGGCGCTCGAGAGGACACGTGGGCAGGGCAGGGATCCAGACGAGATCTGTGCCAGGCGTAACAAGTACGGGGCAGCCCGGGCCCAGCGCGCCGAGGATGACGGGCTGACAAATGGGAAGGTGTTCAACCCCCCATTAGAGCAAACAATTAAACCGTCAGAGGCCGGCAGGGCTGTCAGGACTGTCAAAGCACGGCCAATGAACAGGGGCCGCGTGGATTTACGCCTCTGCACGAGCAGCTCTGATTCATGGCCGAGATGCCAGACGGACGCGCCTTCTGTGAGGGCTGCCTGGGGACGCAGGGAGACGGAGGATGCCACTGTTGGCCTTCAGAAAGCAGAACTGGTGGATTAGAAACAAACAAACAAGACTCTCCCAGCAGCCAGCCTGCTCTGTCCATATTTCACTTGCAAATGCGGCGGCTTCAAAGCGTGCTGCTGCTCCCCTCTGGGCTTCACCGGTGCCCTAATCAATAATCTCCTCCAGGGCTCGGTCAAAGGCTACAGTCCAGGGGGGCCCCACGGTGTTTCTGTCCCCATCAACACGACAGGCTTTGCTAAGTAACATGCTGGATGTCAAACGTGGGCTTTTATAGGTGAGACAATAGCCTGTTACCCAGCATGAGGGACAGGTGGGCTCTCACAGGTGAGAGCAGAGGTAGTAATACGTACCATACCTCAGAGACCCTCCCCACCCTGAAGCTAGGCCTGGACCCCTGGGAAGACACCAGGGCTGGTCCTCACAGGGCCCTCGCCCTGTCGCTGGGGTTAGAGGACGGCCTCGAGGGAGCCCTTTTAGCAAGGGGAGGCCTTTGTCAGGTGGACAGAGCGGGGGCCACGAGGCATCGAGGCCACCAAGGATCTTCAGGGGCCCCTGGACACACAGAGTTCCCCACCCTGCTCGGGATGGGGCCAGAGTCCTTCCAAGAGCTGGAAGGCCGGGTGTGCCCAGGAGGTTGATGCCTGGGGCCACGTCCCTCTTGGCAGACGAGGCCCTTGGTGGAGGGAGCCTACATCTCTTGCCAAGGGCGAGGTGGAAGTTCGCCCTCTCAGGAGCGGCTTGGTCTTCTGAAGGTCAAGGCGCCCTGTGGAAATCTGAACGAAGCCATAGCTCCTCGCCCCGTAAAAATGCAGCCCCATTCGACATTTTCAATAAAACCTCAGAGGGGCCGGGGGGCCTTTCCCGCCCCTCCCCACTGACCTCTCAGTCTTCCCCACGGCCAGCCCTGGGAGAGACAAGAAACACCTCCACGGTGTCCCACGACCCTCCCACCTAAGAGCTACAGGGGCTGCCTGTGAGTGACAGCAAAGTTCCCAAACCTCTGGTGTCCAGACAGAGATGATCAAAGGTCCTGGGCTTCAGCCAACAGCTGAAAAAGCCAAACCGAACCCACTCGTCCCTGCAGGATCCAGTCACACTACGGACACCAGCGCCCCATGTCGACGGTGGGCTCGGAACTGACCAGCTCGTCTGGCAGCTCTGAGGGCCTCCACCAGAGGGGCAGCTTCCTCCCCATGCCATCGCGGCCGGCTCTCACAGGACAGAGGCCCCCACGCTCCTGCCCCGGGACCCTGCAGCTGGGCCTCTGCCTTGTGAACCCTGGAAGCGAATGCACCCTCTTCCTGGAGCTGCAAACCTGCCCTCTGCCCTCCCAGCCTGACCCTGATGCGCACAGGTGCAGTGACTCACCTGGGACCTGAGCCCACCTTGGGAGCACCTAGCACTTCTGGTTCTTTCTATTGGGGCACTAGCATCTGACCCTCAGTTTTTTTAACCCAAAAAAGGGGCCAATAACATCTTCTCTATCTGCTTCATAGGTAGGCTTGGGGATCAAATGAGTTCAGAGACATGAAGAGGCTCAGAAAAGGTAGCACCCATGGATAAGAGCTGTGATTTCTATTGTCTTTTGGGTCACGTGAGGGGAGAGCCCCCTGAAATGACAACGAGGCTCTCTGAGGAGATCATTTCTGCATCTGGGCCAGAATTGGCGCCCACCTGGCGCCCCAGCATCTGCCCTCCACACACGTGCACACACACGCACGCACATACATGCACCGACCACTTTGCGTTTCCTCTCCTTTGCACCCTACGCCAGGGGCTCTCTACTGATGGGCACATCACCTGTTTCCCGCACCATCACAGCAAGGTGACAGGTGCCTGTCTTGTCTAGGCCCGAGGGGCAGCCCTGGAGAGAGGAGCGCTGTTAAGCCTGCCTTTGCCCCTTGGGACTTGGCAGGGCCAGATAAGGGCCAACTGGTACATGTGCAAGAGCCAGGCTGGACCCCTGCCGTGCCCATCCATTCGGGTTCCTGTGTAGCTACTCCAGGAACCTCCTGTCGCTCCCCTCTGGGGCCCTGGGGATGGCTCACCTTCAAGCTACAGGGGCAGAGTTCTCATTCATTCAATAACTAGTTCTGAGCACCTGCTGTATGCCAAACACCGTTGTTGCTTCTCTTTATTCTCACTGCTGCTGAAAATAGAGTTGATCCTTTATATTGGAGAACACTTGCCAGTTTTCAAAGAGCTCACGTGCAGCTCACACAGCCTCGTGACCTGGGTACAGGGAGGGTGAGCTGCCTCAATGCCACACAGCTGGGAAGCAGCAGTGCCTGGCCCGGAACCCAGGTCCCTCCCCAAGCTGTCACGGGCCAGAGTCTCGCTCCTGATGGAATCCTTATCTCTGCTCATTATAGAATTTATGTCCTCTAAATTGTCAGCATGAAGAACCCAGGAGGCTTCTAGACCAAGCACTGTGGCAGACTAGATAGCCTGAATGCCCTTCCCCTACAGAGAGCCAGGAATGCTGGATAAGACATAACAAGCATTGTTAAAACAGAGACCCACGTCGCAGCAAGGTGAGGGATGTCCCCGTGGACCAGGAGTGCAGATGCTACGGAACCCAGCCTGTGAGACTCACACGTGTGCCTGAAGTCTCGGTTACTAGAGCTTGGGTTTAATGCTCAAGGCAGAGTAAGAAGTAACATTTGGGCCCAGAGGAAGCAGAGACCACTGTGGAAAGGCAGAACCTCAAGTGGCTGCCCCCCACCCAGCCAACGGTGAACTAGAAAAAAATCTTTCCACAAACATAACATGAGAAGGAAGCTTTACGTGTTTTAGCCTGAGCTTAAAAAAGAAACCGACCAACCAACCAAAAAGAAAAAAAAAGCCCAATCACCTTTCAGAACATGGAGCTGGAGCCTATTGCATGATTTTGGCTTGGGGTTCACATTTAGGGTGCCCACTCGATCAGGAACCCCCAAGTTAATACAGTGGCATGAAAATAGAAACCAGGAAGGTAAATCTCCAGGGGAGCCCAGCCAAGGCTGACACAAAGCCCCCCCGGGGTATGTCCCAGCCAGGGGATTCTGCAGATGAAGCCCTGCTTAGGACGAGCCCACAGCTTTAAGTTACAAAGCCCCCAAGGAAATAATTCGCCATGTCAGGAGACACAACAGACAATAGCATTAGACCCTGGAACTTCAGGGACCAGAACAACCCGGTGGAGACTGTGAGGTAGGTACGCTCGGAATGAGTAAGAATATACGCTGCGTCTGGGGGGATTGCAAAATCTCAGGGGACGACGACATAATTAAAAAGAAAAAGAACGGGTGGACATAGTAAAGGACTAAATAGAATTTCTAAAAAGAAAAATAATAGAACCTAATAACTCAATGAAGTGTCTCAAAATCAAGGCAGGAATGAGGTGAGGGAATGCAAACAAAACCTGGACAGAGGGATGGGGGAGGGCTAGAGAGAGCAGAGAAGGGTGGGCAGGAGGAGGAGGGAAGGGAGGCCGGAGGGAGAGAAAGAGAAGAGAGGAGAGGAGGGAAGCTGTTCAGGTGAGAGCAAATGTCACAGTCAGCCGGTCACCACGCCATATGCGCATGAAGCACTGAGCAAGACTGGATGTCTGGAAGGTGGACAGTGGGTGGGTGGGTAGTTAGGTGATGGTAGATAGTAGACAGTGAGTAGTTAGGCGGTGGAGAGCGGGAGGAGTGAATGGTGGGTGCAGAGGTGGGTGGGCTGACGGGTAGGTGAATGAGTAGATGGACGGGTGGGCAGGCGATTAAGTAGTTGAAGAGATGAACAGGAGATTGGTTAGCTTGGTGGAGAGGCAGATGGATGAGCGAGTCAACAGATGGGTAGGAGGGTGGGTGGATGAATACATGGTCAGGTAGGCAAGCGGATGGGGTGGCAGGGGGTGGATGGTGAGTGGGAGGTTGGTAGTTTAGTGGGGGGAGAGGGGTGAGTAGGTAGACGGACGGGAGGCGGGTGGATGGAGGGTGGGTGGGTGAAGGGTGTTGGGTGGGTGATAGTGAGCAGGTGAGTAAATGGATAGACAGTCAGTGGGCAAACAGGTGGCTGGATGGGCAGATGGGGGGATAAATGGGTGGGTGGGTGGGGATGGAGCCCACCAAGCCTCACCTGGGCTTTGGCCTTCACCGCGTCGTACTCGGCCTTCATCCTCTTCTGGGCGTCTTCGTCCACGCTGGGGTCCCCGATCCTGTTGAACAGGGAGGCGGCCTCCTCCAGCAGCCGGTCCAGGAGCACGGCCTGGCTGTCCACGTTGTGCAGCAGCACCTGGGCGTGGCTCAGCTGCCACTGCTTCTCCTTCAGGCCCAGCTGCAGCTCCACGCGCGGCTCCAGCGTGACCGTCATCTTCTGGAACCAGCGGTAGAACTCGTCGCGGGCCAGCAGGTACTCGCTCCAGTGCAGCCACACCCACTCGATGCGGCTGTGGGCAGAGACCCAGGGCTGTGAGGGGACCCAGCGGCTTCTGGGTGGGAGGCCGTGGCCCTCCCCAATCCCAGGGGGCTGTGGGATGGGGGCACGATGACACCCGCTCTGGACTCAGAGTTGCCTCCCAGATTTGGATAAGACCCTCCTGTGCAGTGAGGCTTAGGCCAGGTACCCCAGATTCCAGACTCGCTCCCAGAACCACCAGCCTTGGGGAGGCAGCTTGGGGAGCCCTTCAGCCCCAGCACCCCGAATTCTGGCCCTGGCTCCCACTATCCATGCACGGACACCCCCAATCATTTCTCTGTGGCGTTGGGACTCTGAACACAGCTGCCCCTGCCCTCAGCACACGCGGGTCCTCTGACAGGCAGGAGACGGCTGCTGGGAACGTGTCCGGTCACCCGCAGAGCACCACTGTGTCTGTGGGCTCGTTATACCCAGTGGGGATGGAAGGCTGGGGGCCTGTGCGTGGGTTCCAGGGGGGTGTGAACTCACTTCATAAACCTGCCTCGTCACCTGCCTCATTTTCCCCATCTGTAGCATGAAGGTGGCTCTATCTCCCCAGCCAACATTAAGCCATTTTGCTTGGAATGTAAGTGCAAGGGTGTGGAAAGCAGGAAGCACTGTGCAAATGTCATTCCCATCTCCACTCACAGTCCTGCTCTGTAAGAGCAGGGAGGCTGGCAGCTCCTGTTTACTGAGGGCCTACTTTGTGCCAAGCACTGTGCCTTGCTCTTGACCTTGGCTATCCCCTTCCATCCTCCTGACGCCCTCCAAGGAGCACTTGATTACCCCCATTGTCCAGAGGAGGCACTTGAAGTTCAGAGAGGTTCAGTAACTTTCCTGAGGCCACACAGGAAGTGATCAGCGAGGCAAAAGTCAATGCCAGGTCTGAGTCTCTGTTCCTCCCCCAACCCCACACAACCACCCCCTGGCTTCCTGGTACAAGTAGGGAATCTGGGTTGCAGTGCCGGCAGGGCAACTGGCCTTCTTTCTCCAGAGCCGCTCTGTCATTCTGCTGCAGGACGTGCTCACAGCCAAGTCTGTTAAGAATTGCTGGGAAAACATGCCGGGCTCTCAGTGTCTATTGCCATCGTTAAGCTTGATTATAATTAGAAAGAGGCAGGCAAGGCTGGCCCAAATCCCAAGAGAACATCCTGTCCCCAGAAATCCCAGGACTGGAGAAATGTCCCTTGGGCAGAGGTCCCCAGCCCTGGCCACCCTACCTGTGACAGTGAGTCATGTAGGTGACCGTTTCCTCCCACTGGGCCTTGATGTCCTTCAGCCGGGCCAGGATCTCGGGCCTCTGGTCCCTGGGGCAGCATGCCAGCAGGGCTTCAGCCGCCCGCAGCGCCAGGGCCACCTTCACACGCCCCTCGGGCTCCAGCTGGCATATTTGCTGTTGTGGACACAAAAGCCAGTTTCCAGGGTGAGGCAAATGCAGACAGAGCCAGGACCCGGAGGCCAGAGGAGCCGGGGTTCACATGGCGGGCCCTGCACCCGCACAGCTTCTACTGGGGCCCTGGGCAACCTGCTAGGGGCTCCGAGGGTGGCGGGCGGGAGCCGCAGAGGTTGGCGGAGAACCGCCCTGTGCCCCCTGATGAAACCAAGTTCTTTCCCTGCCCCACTGAGCCCGTTTCCAGCTGTGCGAACTCAGATGAGGTTCATCTCTCCTCGAACTTGGTTTTCTTATCCGTGAGGTGGAGGTATTGATCGCATCTACCTTTCCGAAGTTTTGTCAGGATTAATGAGAAAATGCATGTAAGGCGCATGTCACAGCACATCTGAGCATCTGCCTCTCAGGTGGGCTGCAGGGAGCCGGCTCGACGCAGGGCCCCAGCTGAGGCTCCGGAATCATCTCTGCTGTCGCAGTCTGCGCCAAGGCCTTGCTGCTGGGCGGCTCCCCGCAGAGACCAAGCACAGTGGAAACGCCAAGGCAGGCCCATTCCTGGGAGGCGCCGGCTGAGTGACTTTAACTCAAGGACAGCCTGCAGCCTTGCAAACTCTCAGAGTCCACGGCAGTGTGAGACGCAGCCTCCTGCCCCCACCCCCCTCCCTGCTCTCCTGGCCTTGGGGCCAGGCCTGCACCCCTCTCACCCGGCTCTCCCAGCCTCTCCCAGCTCCCTCCCTCCCCATCTTCTCTCGGGGCGCTCCCCTAATAAATGCGTGCACGTTGAATCTCATCTTGCCATCCGCTTCCCGGAGGACGGAGACTAACACAGGGTACCCTGCACATCCTCAGTGTCAGCGCTAGCCGTCGGCACGATTCTCGGTTGTTAGCCCAGTTCACTGGCAGCCACGGCTTGGTCTCTGTAGTCAAATATGCCTGGACACCAATTCCAGCGCCACTCCTACCACCTGTGTGACCTTTGTCAGGGGACGTCAATCCTCCAGGCCTATGAAATGGGGGAAGACCACGGTTGTGCTGCCAGTTGCAGTGAGCGTTAGGCGATGCGGGGGGAGCCCTTAGCACGCTGCCTGGCCCACGCCACGTTCTCAGTCACTAATTGTTCCCTATTAGTATTATCTTTTCTTTTTAGAGAGAGGGTCTCACTCAGTCTGTTTCCCACGCTGGAGTGCAGTGGTGTGATCATAGCTCACTGCAACCTCCAACTCCTGGGCTCAAGCGATCCTCCTGCCTCAGCCTCCTGAGTAGCTGGGACTACAGGCACGTGCCACCATGCCCGGCTAAATTTTTAAAAAAATTTTTGTAGAAATGGGGTCTCATTATGTTGCACAGGCTGGTCTCAAACTCCTGGCCTCAAGCTATCCTCCCTCCTCAGCCTCCCAAAGCGCTGGGATTACAGGCATGAGCCACTGCACCTGGGCATTGGCATCTTTTACTTGCCTTTGGGTCGTATTTCCTGACAGCACACGTTTGCCTAAAGCTCAAGCCCAGATCCCCAGCTGTCTCCCTGGGGGCTGGTGGTCAGTTTCCTGAGACCGTTGTCCCCGTGACCTGGTTGTCTCTGACCCTATTCAGTGGATGGGGTGGACGAAGGGCTCCTGACATCTCAAATGCTGCCCCACTGACAGCTGTGCCACCCCAGGCAGGTCACTCAACTACTCTGGGTCTTCCTTTCCCATTCTGAGACGGTGATAACAATCTGTTTTGTTACCTCACAGGGTTATAATAATAATTTTTAAAAGACTATTAATTAAAACATGGATATAAGTTAGTGTACTTTGTAAACGGTTAAGCAGTTGGGCACTGGTCCCAATCCTTTTTGTCACTTCGTATGCTAACGGTTAATGACGATGATGATGATGATGATGATGATGATGATGGTGATGGTGATGATGATGATGGTCCCCCACAGAGGGACTTGCCGTCCTACATGTGTTATCAAAAACAAGATTAAACAAGCTCCCCCCACAGCTTGCCTTTGTGTGCACATGAGGGCGTGGGGCGCAGGTAGAGTGGAGAGACGAGAGCGTCCCCAAGACAAAGACAGTTTATTTGTCCGAGTAGAGGATGTGGCAGGGTCCCCGAGGGTGGTGGCTGCAGCGAGCGCCCAGACAGGGACCTCCGAGTCCCTCTTGGCAGTAAGCAGCGACGTGAAAGACAGAAGTAGCTAGCATGGGCTAAAGATCCGAGGGCCACTGCGGAACGTTCTGGACTGAGTATGATTGCTCACCCGGGACATTTCATACCACCTGGGAGCAGGGTCCCCCAACGTGGCTGAGGATGGATTTCTCACCATCCAGAGAGAGGTTTAATTTGATGAAAAAGAGTAAGACGTTACTTCAGACTCCCAGGGCTGTGAAGGAGACTTCGTACTCCCCGAGACTGCCGATGGGCATCGTGGTAACTCCAGTTTTACAGACGAGGCCGCCAGGGACCCACAGAAGCCACGAGCACTGCAGAAAGAGTCTCTGCAGCAGTCAGAGGCCTCCCCTACACCTGCTGCCCAATTTCAGCTTGGGGGGAGTCCCGCTCTAGAAACCAAGGGTGCCAACGACTTCGGGGAAGAAGAGAAATTCAATCTCTCTTTGCCGCACCCAGGAGGAGCCAGCCAGGCCCGGAAAGTCCCGACAGTCCCGAGCTTGGCATCCTGATTGCACGATCTGCCCCAGGCCTGTGGATCCTGGCCCTCCTTGTCCTCGTATTGGAGACACAGGCTGGACTGAGGGACAGGAGGGGTGGACGTGGAGACCCTGAGGCCCCCTGCCCTTTCAAGCGAGCGAGTTTGATGCCTCCCTGCTGAACGGAGAGCTCTTCCCGAAACGCCGTCCAGTGAGACGTCTGTTGTGGGGCTGAAGCCAGGAGAGGCCAGAGGCCGTGGCTGAGCTGCCAGAGCTGAATTTTGAGAAGTAGATTCCACCCTCCTTCGCTGCCGTGATGACTCCGCTCTTTGGCTGGCGCCCAAGGTTCTTTATAGCCCGTCGCCAGCAAGGATGTGGTCCAGGAGTGCTTGGCAAAGGCTGCTCTGCCCCTGGGCAGGAGTACTAGAACTACGGCCACAAAATTACTCCGATTTGAAGCAGCCAATGAGGGCAGCGGTAACGTGGGGACCAGAGGGAGGGAAAATCTCAGGGAGGAGAACCAGGAGACCGGGAGAGTGGAGGAATGGGGTTTACTAGGGTTTTCCCTGAACACAGCCAAGACCAGCTAACCAGCAGCTGAGCAGTTGCTGGGCCCTGGGGTCCTGGATGGACAGGACATAGCCCGGCGCTTCCAGGCTGGGGGAGGGAGGGCTGCAGACAAGAGCACAGACGACGGCAAAAAGAGCCATAAGAGACCACAAAGCACCATGGGAGCTCAAGGAGGGATAAGGGAAATCCAAGAAGGCTTCATGGAGGAGGTAGCCTCAGCAAGCAAGCCTTAGAGATAGTGCGACAGTTAGAGAAGGGGGTTTGTGCAAAGGTAGGGAAGCAAGATGTATTTAGGAATGGGTGCATTTGGCTTTTGCAAGCTAAGCCCCTGGAAACGCTAGGGTGCCCCTGACCAGGACGGGGCCTGGGGGCCTGTGAGGAAGCTGCCTGGCTGCGGCCAGGACCCAGGTGCAAGGCTGGGAACCAGAGAGCGAAGAGAACAAGATGCAAGACCAGCTCCTGGGGGCTCGGGCTGGCAGGGACAGCACACGTGGTATGTATCCCGGCCTCTAAAACCACAGGGAACAACCGCCCCTGTGTGCCCAGCTCTGCCACAATACCCTGCACTGTGCCAAGTACGGACATAGATTATTTGCCTTAATCTTCCCTCCTTCCTGCAAGGCAGTGACTGTCCCTTTTCCCAGGAGCAAGCTGAAGTTTAGGGAGCTCTGGAAATCTCTCCTGAGTTGCCACAGCCACGGCAGTATCGGAGCCCAGGCTTCCTGGCCCCAGCACCCAAGCCCTCAACCTCTGAGCCCTGTGCATCCTGCCTCAGGAGGTGCAGTCCCTCCAGTCGCCCAGTACAGAAGGCTTCCACTCCGCGGGGAGTCTCGAGTCTCCTGCAACCCCTTGGCAACACAGGGGCGAGGGGGCCCTTCCCCACTTTACAGATGGGAAAATGAGGTTCCAGGAGGGCATGGGACCCATCCCCGGCCACACAGCTACTAAGGGACAGAACGAGATTGGAACCCGTGTCCCTGTCACTGTAGCACTGGAGACGTGACATGCTTAATTGAATTGGTGAAGGACTCACAAGGGAACCCAGGGGAAGTTCCGTGGGTGGGTGGGGAAGGCCCCAGCTGCTCACTTTCCCAGATGGCAAGAGAGAAATGTTTTCTTTCTTATTGTGAAGTTGGTTTTGAAATGTCAAAGCACACAGAAAATGCAGCGTGTCTGAGCCCCGTGGGCGGAAACAGTGGCAGAGAGCCCAGGATGTGACTCCTCTCTGCCTGGACCCACCTAGGGCTCACCTGATGGAAGTTCTCTCTCTGCCTTGGCCCGTCCACTCTGGCCTAGCTGACGGCCCTTCCTAAGAGCTGCCCTTGCCTTCGCCTAAGCCAGACCCACCACCAGGAGGTAAAGAGCTGCCACAAAGGTACAAAGGTCCAAGTGCTAAGCGCCCTGAGACAGTGGGTACACGTGCGGGGCTGCGATGCTCAGACAGAAAAGGTCATGTGTCGGGGTTGAGACAGGGGAAAGGTTGGTCAGGAGAGACTCAGGGATGAGGGAGTGTTTCATTTCTCGTGCACACCCAGACCCAAACAAAACAGCGTTCCAAGTAGAGGCAACACTGGGACAAAGGCTCGATGATAGGAAATCAAGGGGCTTTTCTGCCAACAGGAGAGTGTGAGCTTGGGAGATGTGACAGTGGGGGCAGCTGAGGCTGGAAAACAGGGTCATGTAGATAGTGGAGGAGTTTTGATGCCAGGTGAAGTTTGGTTTTCTTTGGTGGGCAATAGGGAGCCATGGAAGGTTTTAGAGGAGGAGAATAGAATCACGAGACCCATGTTAAGGACATTCCTTATATGCTTGTGTGGCTACCCTGGTTATTTGCATACCTGTCTCCCCCTAGGCCGTGAACCTTCAAGAGCAGGGTGTGCCTCACCCACGTCCATAGCCCCGGGTGCAGCTGGATGGCAGAAAGAAGGGGTGGTCTGCTCTTTGTGATCTGTCAGGGAGGCTTCCCCCCAGATGGTGAAGTGAGCAGACAAGGGAGCTAGAACGTGAGTGAGAAAGCCCCCCAGGCAGAGGGAGTGGTACGTGCAGACTCAGTTTCCCCAATTGAAAAACGCAGATAATGGCTCCTGCCTCCTGATGTTCTGGTGACGCTTAAACCAAACATGGACTCTGAAAAGGTGATGTAAATGCTTAATTTTTACTGTCCACTTCCAAAAAAAGCATGAAATATTTGTAACAAAATGTACAAAATCAGTAAGACAACATGCAAAAAAGGAAGCACACAGGGAACCAGGTGTGGGGTCACCACCGCTCCCAGCCTGGCTGGGTGAGGGTTTGCCGCAGGAGAAGGTAGGTCCTCCTCTAAGAGCAACCATTGTTGGGTGATAAGGTAGAATTATGGGATAGTTAAATGGATGTGGCCCCAGAAGTGTGTAAGTCAACTGCTCCATTTACGGATGGGAAAATGAGGCCCAGAGAGGGACAGGGACTTGGTCAAAGTCACACAGCACTCTAGCATCAGCATGGAGATTACAACTCAGGTCTCTGACTCTTAGTTCAGGGTTCTTCCCCTTGTCCTCAGCAGCCCACTTTCAGACCAGGGCACCACGATGCCCGGCCAGGCACTGGGTACCAGCCCTTTAGTGCTACTTGGACTGAGAAACTGCCTTGCGCCAGGTGGGTGGGTAAAGTGAGACCCTGGCTCTGAAGCAGCTCAGGGAGTCACTCCTGTCACTGGGCAGAGCCCCCTCCTTACCCGGCTGAAGACACACCTGGGCTAACCCAGACCAGGCAGGGACCCCAGCCACACGGAAGCAGGGAAGGAGCCGGCTGGGGATGGGGGACCCACCTGGCTGCATGGGTGCCCCTGCCGGGACGGGAGATCAGAGGGCATGCTCTTAGTCCCTCACCAAGAGTGTGGCCCACGGACCAGCAACTATGGCATCACCTGGAACTCTTCAGAAACGCAGGCTCTGGGCCCCACCTCCACCCACCTGATTAGACTCTCCATTTAAACAAAACCGCCAGGAGATCCGTACACACATCAAAGTTTGAGAAGCACCGTCTAGCCCAGCCCAGCAGGAAACCCAAGGTCCCAGGGGGAGGGGCACAGATGGCCCAGGCCACAGGGACCCAGGGCCACGCCTCTACGTACCTCTGTCTCCCGGAGCCTGGCCTCTAGGGCCGCGCGGGGCCCCTGGGTGTTGTCATTGACCTGCAGCCGCTCCTGCACGGCCTTCATCCACGCCTGGGCGTCCTCCACGCTCCTGTCGAAGCCCTCCTGGGGCTGCTGAGTCATGGCGCCTGCAGGGGCTGGGGAAGGACCACAGGGGATCAGCAGGGGCTTTGGGAGGCCCCCACGAAGGCTGGTGGGTGGGGACAGGCCCACGCCCCACCACCAACACCCTCCCTGTGCTCCTAATTGAGTGATACAGCCAGCGTGTTTGTCACACAGCCAACGCACTAGAGATGGCAGGAAGGAGAACAGGTCCGGCCTCTTGCTGCCACTGGCCAGGAGAGAGGCTCAGGGTGCCGCCGGGCTGGCAAAGCGTCTTTCTCTTTAGCCCCTCAGCTTCCCTGCTCCCTCTTCCTCCAGCCTGGGGCTCCTGGGCAAATCTCTTCTGTCTGTTCAGGCTGAAGGCCCGGACCTCAGAAGTACAGTCTGAGATGCCTGGACTCATGATGAAAACTGACTTGAATAGATCAGAGAGGTCTCGACCTAAGGAACATAGTTTTAGGCATCGGCCAAGCTGACGCCAGCCCTGAGCTCCACCTGAGGTCAATGACCCTCTCAGGCTGGGATGGCCATGTTAGCAGCGTGTTGTCCCTCCTTCTCCACCGCCCTGGGTCCACGGCAGCTGCTGCCCATCAGCTGGCTTAGTGCTAGCTCTGCAACCCTCTTGCTGCTTCTGCCTTAGGGGATGCCCGCCTGCTGGCATAGGTCACCCGTCAAGCCAACTCCCTTTGCTCGACTGCCCACCCCGCAGCTCACCCTGGGCTGTGGCTGCAAAGTCTCAGGTTTTCTCCTGTGACTTTCTCAAAGCCCAGGCAAAACCCTTCCGTATTCCAGTTCTAGTTGTCTGCTTGTAGTAACTACAGCCTGCTTTGGATTAAAGTTACTGATACGCGTGTTTTATGGGAAAGGATTGCATCCAGCTTATCCTCCAGCCTCCCACGATGCCTTGCACAGAGTAAGCCCAATGTTGTTGAACTAGCCCAGAATGGGTACAAGTTTAATGCACCAAAAAGCTCACCACACCATCATATAAAATCGCAAAACAAAACAAAACTAGAAACAACCTAAGTGCACAGTAACAGGGGGTTAGTTCGTTAAAATACGGTATACTTGCACTTTTGAATATTATGCAACCAACGCTTAACATGAATTTACAAAGGGGAATTTTTAAGATATAAGGATAATACAAAAAAATGAGCCAAAATTATATATTGAGTAGTCACAATTCTATAGCTAATAAAAGCAAAATGAAACATTAACAACCACAAAAAACAACACTCAGAAAAAGGCTGGGAAGTCTTGTCATCAGAGGGTTCGTGTGACTGGGCCAGAGCCAGGGCGTGTGGGCAGAGTGTCCCTGGCCACTCCCAGGCCTGGCCCTGAAGCACATCCCATGCAGCCCTGTGGTCCCTCTCTCCTTGGCGTGGGCAGGGGCACGGTGACCTTGGAGTCCACTTGGTTAAGGACGATCATCTGTGGTTGATGGGATCACCACTGGAAGGTTTTTTTCCTTATTTTTTCTCTTAGCCATTTTGTGAATTTTCTAGAAAGGTCAATTACGACTTCACAATGAAAAATATAAATAAAACCTTTCCTTGACATTGGCTACATTGTTTATTGGTTCTTTCTTCTCAGTCATCAGTTGGCTATTCAACAAGCACCCGCTGGGAACCAGGACGCACCCCCATGGGGCCGAGGGTCAGGTCGGGAGTCGGCCAGGGGAAGGGCTGCTGACCCAGCGGGCTGTGCTCTGCGACTGGGCCCGAGATTCTCCCTGTGTGTTGTTTTCCTTCCAGAGTTGTTTTGATTTTTTCTAACAACTTAATATGTCCCTTGCAGCCACTCCCTGTTTTTGAAAAGCACATTAGAATGTGAGGCGTTTAAATTGGTTCGCTGTGGCTCTAATTTCTTGTCTAGTGTGTGGCTTGGCTGGCTTCCAAAAGCTCAGCTTTTATTTTTATAAAGCAAGGAATGGGAGGGACAGAAACGAGTCTCCCTGCGTTTCAGATGACAGGACAGTGGGGCCCCATGGCTCTAACCACCAAAACGCAGCGAGGCTTTGGACAGCCCCTCTCATCGAACATGCCCGTGGCCCGTGAGGCACGGGGGTCTGACGAACCCCAGGTGCGTTGTCACATGGAACACAAGGGCCAGCAGGACGAACGGGCTGTGGGGGCCTCAGACTGATCAGCCCCATGGGCTGGGCGAGGTTGCAGGTACAGTTCAGGAGGCCCGGGCCTCCTCTTGGCCTATCCTGCCAAAACACTTGGCTTTAATTCAATGACACAAACAGGAACCAAGCTCCGAGCCATGGCACCAACCAACAGGCAGCAGGCACTGTCCCTGCCCTAGAGAAGCTCTCTGCCCGACAGAGAGGCTGCGCATAGAACACAGTGTGGCTGCAAGTGGACGAACCACAAGGGGGGTTGGCAGGAGGGGCGTGGGGAGAGGGCTAAACTTTGCCGTGAACCTCTTCTCAGAGTAAGGGCTTTAAATGCCAAGAATAAAGTGCAATGAATTGCAAAGGAAACAATCATGATAAAACCTAGTTACCAAATACTAAAAATCAAATTCATGGGATACACACACACACACACACACACACACACACACACACACACACTTCTTTATTAACACATTAAATCACAAGACCTAACAATGGGCTGAGCACAAACAACATGTCAAGATACCAGCAACTACCACAATGAAGCCAAAAACAAACATGTGACAAAGTTCCAGGTGCTGCCAATGCCAGAGGGGGTTGGTTTTGCCTTGTGTGTAATTCAAGGACATGCTGTCAGTTAGAGGTGAGTAGGACGGCGTTAGTTTCCCATCCAAGTTCACGGGCCCCTGAATTCTCTCCGCAGGCCCCTGTCAGTCCCTGGGCCCCAGGTGAGAGTCCTGCTCTAGGCCTCCCGAGGCAAGTCACCAGCCCTTCGTTAATGTCAATGGAGGGACGAGTGAGCAGATGAAGTGACCCGCAGTGCTGGGTTGGAAGAGGGGTGGGGACTTCCTAAATGCCTAGTTACGGCCAAGGTGGGGACAGCAAGAGAAGGTCCTGGACTTGGAGTCTGAACATTTTCCCTGAGCAAATGCCTTTGCCTCTCTGGGCCTCAGTATCCCCGTCTGCACACTGTGGATGCTGAACAGGGAGTCTCTGAGGGACCCCCAAGATTGTGGGCTGAGAGGGTCCCTATTACCGAGACCCCTGGGAGCCAGGTCAAGCCCGGCCAGAGCTGGGCCTGGGGACCAGCCCCTGCCCTCAGACTGTCAGCCTGGTCTGGGCCCCAGCTCCTTTCTCTGCCCGTGGGACCCCCTCAGCCAGCGCTGAGCACCGCTCCCCACATCGCTGCGCCCTCGCCGGGGGCGGTGAGCCAGCTCCCTCGGCTGTAGCTACTCGCAGCCGCCAGTCACTCCCTGAACCACTTCCAAGGGGGATGGTCAGGGGACATGTTACATCAGCAAGGGGGCAGGGGGCACACTGTTCCTGTACAGGGCCAGGCAGCAAACCTTTTTAGCCTTTGTGGGCCACAAATAGTCCCTGTTGCACAGTCTTCCTTGTTTCTACAACCCTTTAAAAACGCAAGAGCCATTGTCAGCTCACTGGCTGAACAAAAGCAGACCACAAGCCGGCCTTGGCCTACAGGCTGTTGTGTGCCAACCCCTGTCTTGGATGGTCCCAGGCTGCAACCAGCAACTGCAGAAAGCCCAGCTGCCAGCCAAGCTAGATGGCCAAGTGACCCCACAGGCATGTGTCCAGGACAGGGCTGGCCTCGAGGTCAGAAAGACCTAGAATTGATCCCGGTGGTCCAAGCCCAAAGACTCACTAGCTGTGTGACATCTGGCCAGTCACTTAACCTCTCTGGGTATCCACCTCCTCATCTGGAAAGCGGGAATAATATCTGGATTAATGATTAATGAAAATGCCACCTATCCAGATCGTGGGGTACATGCCATGCTTGAAGCGGTTCCCTTTTTCCTAAATGCATGTGTCAGGCGCAGGCTTTCCCTCCCTAGGGACCTGCATCCAGACCGTGGCTCTCCCCATCCCAAGGTTGGCGTAGGGAGGGACAGGGGTCACAGGCTGTTAGACCAAGGAGTTTGTGCATACAAGTGCTACGGAGGGCCAGGTGCTGAGGATCCAGAGATAAACCAGGTGTGGCTCTGGCCCCGGGGGGCTCCCCGCCCAGTCAGGGGTGCAGATCAGGCAGCTACAGCACAGGCCAGTGTGAGCTGTGTGAGAGGGGACGAGAGGGCCACGGGGCCAGAAAGAAGGCTGGCTGGCTGGCAGGTGCTGCCTGCCGAGGGCACGGGAGTGGCTCCCAGTACACTGGGAGAGGGATTGACGGACGTGGGAAGCTGAGGCTGGAGCATGGGCACGGGGGTAGTCAATGGAGGAAGCTGGAGTGGGGGGGCAAGGGCCAGGTCAGAGAATCTTAGGAGCCACGTCCAGGATGCTGGACTTGACCCTGAGGGCAATGGGGAGCCAGCAAGTATTGGGGGGGAGGGTGACACGACTCCAGGCAGACCACCCTGGCCAGGGAGGGCAGAAGAGGGAAGCACTTGAACAGAGGTGGGCTGAGGCTGAAGGGTCAGCGCAGAGACGGCAGCTGCGTGTGGCCCAGGACAAGGGGAGGCTACAGGAGAGAACTTTCATCTCTAGATTGGTTAAATGGAGACAGTATATATATTTTAAGAGATGGGGTCTCGCTCTGCTGCTCAGCTGGAGTGCAGTCGTGCGATCTTAGCTCACCGTGACCTCGAACTCCTGTGCTAAGGAGGTCCTCCCGCCTCAGCCTTCTGAGTAGCTGGGACGGCAGCTGCACACCACCAGGCCCAGCTAAATTTTTGTTGGGTGTTTTATTTTATTTTTTTTTAAGAGACAGGGGTCTTGCTCTGTTGCTCAGACTGGTCTTGAACTCCTGGCCTCAAGCAATCCCACAATGCTGGGATTAGAGGCATGAGCCACCGTGCCCATTCTGGAGATAGTATTAAAAAAAAAAAGTATGCATTTTCCGAGCATTTTCAAACAAGGCAAGAAGCCAACATGCTCAGGGTAAACAATAAGCTGCTTCTG